TTCTAGAAGTGGAATAACTTGATCAGGGGTTTTAATATTTTTAATGTTTTGGTACAATCTTCTAGGTGCTCTTATTACCCACCAAAACATTGGTGTAGGAAAATGGCCACTTCTCTGCACTCATGAACTGTGATTGGGATGAAAAAGTGATCCTAACTGATAAAATTGCTAATACATTAAATGCTAACTTATTATATTATTGCTGTTTATTTGTATTTGTTATTTTATGTTTTTTAGGGGGTAATAAATCATCATGTGGGTATATTGGGGTGAGAAGTAGCCCCTGAGAAGTGTTCCTTCATACAACCATTGTTTAATTGACTTGATAAATTAACTAGCACCTTTGAATTTCCTTTGTAATAATATTCTAACTGTATAATTTGCTTATATCAATTTCAAAATCAGGAAAAACAGGACATGAGACATTAGGACTTAGGAGAGAGAGGGAGAGAGAGGGAGAAAGAGATAGTGATCAGAAGAATATAGAAGAAAGTAGACTACAAAGTGCTGATATTGCTTTATTTTTTGACCCAATTGATGGTTATTTTGTTTTGTTCATTTTATAACTATTTATTAAGATGTGCACTTATGATTTTTATCATCTTTTTATGAAAACTTTTTAAAAATTAAAAAAAACAAAAATATTTAAAAGGCAAAGGCAAAAAATGTTGGTGCTGACGGTCATGTCTATGAATGCTCAGATTAGGGCACGATCTACTCTGCTTAACAATAGTGAGATCTCTTTTCTCCAAAATCTGATTATTCACTTGTACCTATTATTTCAATTACAAAATTGAATTAAATGTTATTTTAATTATTGATTGATTGGGGTAAGGAGAGTTATTTCTATGAAAACTAAACTATTTTACAAACACTCCATCAAGTTGCTAAACACATTGTTGGATAATATGTGCATAAGACAATCGTTAAAAAAAAAAAGAAGAAAAATGTAGAAATCTCAAAATAGTCTACATTTTAGATCGTCTCTTTGATGTTTTTAGTGTCTTTAAATTCTCTCTCTACTTTATGGAAACAAACCGAAAATTGTAGACCGGTGGTCCTTAACATTTTTGATACCAGGGACTGGTTTCATTGAAGATAATTTTTCCATGAACCAGGGGATTAGAGGGTGGGGGAGTAGGGGAGGGGTGCAGAGTTCAGGCTGTGATGTGTGGCCAGTTTCCTAACATGCCACAGATTGGTACCAGGTGGTGGCCCAGGGGTTGGGGACAGCAGCTGTAGACAACAGGACATGAGCACCATTTATGTAAGATTGTTTCATACTCCAAGCAGCAGACCTAGTTCCAAGAAACGGCCTTGACCCATAGCTTTAGCAAAAATCTGTTTAAAATAATTTTCTTACAGAGCCTTTTAATCTGCAGTTTCTTTTAGTGACCTTACCAGTCAGTCAGTGTTCCTGGTTGTATCCCATAAGAGGGGCATCCACCATATCTCAGTAAAACTAGACAGAGAAAACAATGCAAGGACATTTGAAGAGCAGGAGAAATCAGAGGTGAGGAAATTTTGCTGATGGGAGAAGAATGGCAGATGAACAGAAATTAGCACACAAATACACATGTTCACATTCTCGAATTCTGCCTTCCATTTCCATTTTGAACACCAACGTGCCAACCAAGCACAGATTCTCTAGCCACATACAAGATCCACTTTTTCCAAAGTATTAAAACCCAAGTAGACATAAGAGCGATGCAATATCTGCTAAAATTGCAGCGATCCAAAGCATAGAGATAGACCCATGGCTGGGTTTACCAACAGGCAGACTCATCCAGCCACGCTGAAGGCAAGAGTGGATGGTCAGGGAGGGCTGTCCTGACTGGAGCAGGGCAAGTTTAGCTTCAGTAAATGGATCTAGGACTCTGAAATCAGGAAATATGAAAAAAACTGTATTAGTTCATTCAGGCTTCTGTAAAACAATATCACAGACTGAGGGCACATAGAAAACAGAAATTTACTTTTTACTGTTCTAGAGGCTGGGAGTTTGAGATCAGGGTTCTGGAGTGGACAGATTCTGGTGAGAGCCTTCTTTGGGGTCACAGATTGGTGACTTCATATTGTTCCCTTTCATGGAGGAACACAGCAAGAGACCTTCCTGGGGTCTCTTTCACAAGGGCACTAATTCCATTCCTGAAGTCTCCATCCTTTTGACCAAATGACCTCCCTAAACACCCACCCACTAACAGCATCACACTGGGGGGCAGGGTTGGAACATACGCATCTTGAGGGGACATAAACTTTCAGCCCATTGCAGCTATTTTACCATACAATTAACTTTCGTTAACAAATTTGATTTTTTTTCTTTTAATTACTTATGTGGGTGGAAGGTTAGGCTCTTTTTATCTTTTCAGTGACTGAGATTTGAACGGAGTTCTGGAGCGGCTCATTGTAAAATGAGAGAGTAGTTTCAGTAATGGTTGAAGTCACAATGTATATATTTCGTGGTGTGATGCCAGCTTTCATAAAGGTCTGAATAAAGTCATATTCAAGAAGCAAATAAACTGTTATATTTCTTATCTCTCTCTCTCACTCACTCTCTCTCTCTCTCTGTGTTTGTAATTTAGCTTGTCTCTAAGAAGGAAAAGATTAAACATCCTTCATCTATTTCCTTCAAGGTAAAGTACCTGCCTCTCTTCTGCTGCATAATACTGGCAAACAATAAAAATACACAACCATGGGTCCAGTCCTGACATACGCCTCCTTGGTCCCCATGTTCTCACCAAGGCCATGTTTCCCTCTGTACAAGAGAGAAGTGATTTGATAAAGCCTTCCACCCATAACCATTGCCAGTAATATTCTACAAGGTAAATTCTCAGGGCAGGGTGATGCTTACATCAAAAATGTAGATCTCACGCCCTGTGGTTCCTGGGCACAAAAAAAATCTTCTCTTCAAGGGAGATTAGGTTGGGGAATTAGATGCATAAGTGGTCTTAGATGCATAAGTGATACTATGTAAATATTTGTTGAAAATAAATGGGCAGATTTGGTCACCTATCTCTAAAGCACCTCCTTTGCCTACATTCAAAATTAGTTTGTAATTATGCAATAAAGTACAATCAAAGCTGAACATATAAAAAGTGGGATGACATGGCAAGTGTGTCATGAAGCCTTGAGCTTTCACTGTTTGGGCATGAAATATCCGGTGCTTGAATCCATAAAAAACTGCAAACTGGAAGCACAAGAAAGCAACAAAAGACAGCTGTCTGGGCATGACCGAAGGTCCACCCTGCAAGTTACATAACAGCTGTTGTGTAATTGTGCGTTTAACTCAAAACACATTTTTGAAAGAGTAAAAAATGATTTTCCAAAACGAGAGAGATTAAGAGAGAGAAAGAGAAATGCTGAAAGAACACAGAGGTTTCTCTCTGGTCCTCAAGTGCAAGGTGAGGGGAGTCAAGGACGCTGGGGGTGGTATTGCCTTAGCATCTAGGGGGTTGGCCCGTGCTCCAAATCTGGCCTGCCGCTTGTTTTTGTAAACGAAATTTCATTGGAAAACACCTACACCCATTTATTTACCTCTTGTCTATAGTGTCTTCTGAGTGGAGTCAAGTAAGTTACAATAAAATCCACATGGCTCAGAAAGCTGAAAAAATCTATTATCTGTTTCTTTGCCAACCCCTGTCATAGGTGAAGAAAAAGTTGTGCTGAAGTGCTTGTCAGGATGACTATGCACTTACAGAAGCTGTTGATTCTTGAACCCATCCAGGAATCCTCTTGTGGAGAACAGGGCAGAGAGAGTCAACAGGAATGAGAGCCCAGGTTTTGGAGTCAGACTGGCCTGGAATGAATTTCTGGCCTTGCTCTTATTAGATCTGAGACCATAAGCAAGCCAATCACCCTCTCTATGTCTATGAAATATATAATGAAAGTAAAGATAGAGAAACTAAGGCTCCTGCACCTGATTTGGACAAACTATCCAATAATTCTCAGTTTCTCTATCTAAATCTCATATTCAGGGGAGCTGGCTATTTTCACTGGAACAAAATTGTTAGTTCTTAATAATCAGAGCGTCCAAAGTATTCTATCTTGTTCCTACTGTAACTTTTATTAGAGCTACCTTACAATGAAGTATTGTACTTAAAATGAGAGTAGAACAATTAAAAATTGTCCAGTTTGAATGTTCCCAGCTTGAAACCTTAAATTAAGAATTTGAACTATTTGGGAGTCTTGCTTAAATTTATTCATTGTACAACTGCCTATATTGGTAAAATACAGATAACTTCCAAAATCAAAGGTTCTTTTCATTTTAAATGAGTTTTAACATGATGTTGCTCTATTGCTAATTGTGGTGCCTGTGTGTGACAGTAAACTCTTGAGTTCCCTAAAAGTCCTGCTGACTTTTCTGTTCACGTATAGAAAATGAAAATAATTTAGGGCTTCTGAAATCACAGTAGGTCTTCTTACCTAGCACTAAAAATACACTTGATATGATATTTTAAAGCTAACCAAGGTTACAGTCTAGATAGAGAGCATTTCTTTCCCACACAGCACTCTGGTTTTTCTGGAAGGTGGACTGTTTTCCTGACAGCCTTGTCCTGAAGACACCTGGCCAGGGTTCTCTCCTCATCAGCTTCTACTGAAAACATGTACCTTTTTAGACCCTTTTTCAATCCTCAAATTCTCCAAATCCATTAGAGAAAAGAAAGTTACTTAGTAACATACAAAGCATAAAAAGTAAAAAAAATAAATAACTGGACTCAGTGGGCAGAGCAGCTGCGCTGCATACTCTCATCCCAGGTTTCTGCTTTGTAAATTAATTCATCTGCAAATAGTGTAGTGTCTCCAGATGCAACTTCAAGGTTGGAGAGCTGGTTTCTTAAGGATTTAAGTTTAAAGTCAAAGGCTTCCTGCCCCAGGTGTTACAAATAAGTAGTGTCTCTTCTTTTTCTTTTCTTTCTTTCTTTTTTTTTTTGCTCTGAGTTTGTTCATCCAATCATATCCCAGTATGCAAATAAACTTTAGTCCTTGCAGATAAAAAGGAACAAATAAAGCCAAGTGCTCTGTCAGAACTAGACCGCCTGTCACCTGTGTTCTAAGAGCTGAACCAGAAATGTCCTCAGGCATGCCAGACATACCTGCCCCACTCACCAATTTGAAGATTCAATATACTAAGGTAAGTACAATTTGTATTTGCTTCTTTGACTTGGGTTCGTAAAAACTACATTCATTTAAAGTATGAAAGGTCAATTTAAGTAAACTTGTATAAAGAGTACTTTGCAAATGTAAAAATAAAGGCTGAAAAAATGCAGGTCTGGGTTTAGTGTCCAGATCAAACAGTGAACCCTAGATGACATCTTTTCTTAAAAGATTTGCAAGTGAAAGGAATCCTCTTTTGTGTGAAAGGTTCTTCTTCCAGGAATCTGGACTTTACTAAGCAGCTGTATTAAATTCAGTGTAACCAGAACGAATGATAAGAGAAGAAAATACTCACTAGAAAAACTTACTGGAAAGAGCCAAACAAGTGGGAAATAATAGAAAACAAGAAAGGAGAAACAGAGCATACTGAAATCGCATCGCTTTTTCATATGCTTAGTAAAATGAATGTTCACATAGGAGAACTTAAGTCTGATAATTAGATGAAAAAACTGTTTCAAAAAACTTCAAAGGGACTTGCATTATTCTGCATATTTGGGGAAAGTAAGCATTCTTATTTATGTCTCCAGCCAGGTTTGTTGCCATTGGAAAATGTATATAATTATTACCTAATAAATATTTAGAGAAACAAGAGCAGGAGCCAGGTCTAGGCTTGATAATCTGCAGCTAGGGAGAAGGAGGACAAGGATTCTGCTTGCGCATTTCTGAGAGCATGTCTGAACTTAGCCTGTTTCACACTGCCACCAAGTCTAAATGCCTGCCTCCGTGTCAGAACCAAGAACTCCAAAATAGACAAAATAAACAAGCAAAACACAGTCTAACAAATCTAATCACTTAAAATTATCTTTATGATGTGATGCGGAAAGTAAAGTAAGAACTGAATTATTGCAATTCAGGCAAAAGCCCTCTTACTTTCTGAATTAACCAGTGAAAAACAGAGAGCCTTATAATGTAATGATGCAGTAAAAGTTTCTGCTCTTTTATATTTATTTCCGTACTTATAACCATGAATGGTTTTGCAATCCTAAAACTGTTGCATTTTCATTTTCATACGTACAACGCATGAGGAAGTTGTTCAGCTTATTGGCTGTTTTCCTTGAAGTGTCAGCAGGGATCAGATTGTGCCTTTAACGAGGTTGACCAGCAGCTATGAAGTGTACTGAGGTGTTATTTCCATAGGATTTTATTAAAGGGGAAAATGTTTTCCATTTAATTTATAAATGGGAACGTGAAAAATGTGGTGAATCCATACCCTCAAACGACTGGCATTTGGCAAAGGTACGCCAAAAGATCCCAAGACTCCAGTCTCCCTCACTTTCTTATTCCAAGTTTTCATTCACAAGAAATTTCGATTCAAAGTAGGTACTCACTAGAAAAGTTTACTCGAAAGAATCAAACAAATCGCAATTATAGAAAACAAAAATGGAGAAACAGAGTATACTGAAATAGTATTACTTTTATATATGCTTAATACATTTTTATTTCTCCTATTTTTTGTTTTGGTCACTCTGTTGTTTTGTTTCCATTCCTTTGATTGCAGTTAAAAAATTTTCCTCCCTTCTGTTATTTCCTGTTTTAATTTCCTTTTACATTTTTTGCTCTGAGTCTCAATGTTTTGCTTTCCTGCCTCGGGGTTTGGGTTGAAAATAGTTGTCAGAGATCCAACCTTGATTGTTTTAAATATTAAGACCTCACCTGACTTCTGGTCAGTCTCTCTCCTTCATTATTCATCCCCTGTCTGTCCTTTGTCCCCCCATTCTCTTTGGTAATTTTTTAAGGGTGCTAAGGCTGAGGAAAAAGTTCACACACAACACACATGACTGCCTGCACAATGACATCACCACCCTCACTCCTCATGCTGTGACTCAAGATCTCAGGTTTGGAAATCCACACAGGGGATATATAAAGGTCACTCTCACCACCCTCTCTCTCCCTTGGAATGTGCTGAAATCCTTCCTGCATTGAAAGTGTGATCTGTTAAAATCTCTCTGCCACCTAGAAAGTATTGGCTTCCCTTACTGGATCTAGAGCTGCTGGCCCATGGCTGCCTTCCAGAGAGAGTAGAGTTTTAGGGCACCTGGTGTTTTCTGGGGGGAGTCAGGGGCTCTCCACTTTAATCAACTGGCTTCAAAATCTCATATCAACAGATAAGGAGAATAGATCTTTATTTTGCCCAGTAGTGAAATCCAGCTTAATCAAGCCAGAAATATTTTGAAAAAATTACTTATTTATTTCAAATTGTAGCATTATACCAAATGCATTACATAATAGATTTTACTATGGAAAGGCAATTGTTTTACCAGATTATGACTTATTCTTGGACACAAAACTACATCCAGGGAAACAGTCACTTATTTATCAAAGATAATAGGATACATCTCTTAAAACTAGACATATCTAAACTTGAAAGAATAAAAATAAGTTTTTAAGTTGCATCAACATTCTCATTGATTAATTCCCCACATAAAAACCGCTTGAAATTCAAGAGTATGCATAGGCATCTATAATTTCCTATCAGTATTGGGAACCTAAATTGACATCTACTATATATACATATAATTCAAAAGTATCCTTAGTTTAAAATTAATAATTAAAACATAATTAATTTAATGGTTAAATAGGACCCAAGAATAATTTACTTTTATAGTATTTCCCTCTCCCCCTAAACTTGCTAAGGCAAACAGGAAATGAAAATGACATTGTTGCCAAGATAGAACATTTCTACAGGCCTAAAACAGATTTTATAATTATTGTTGCAAACATTCATTAGCCTAGACATTCTCCACGTAACCATTAAATATAACTACAGGAAGGGTGAATATGCAAAGACATTTAGTCACATAGCTAGAAGGCAAATAAATGCCAAATGTAAAGCTAATAAAGTTAAGACAGAAAAAAGGTAATTAAGGTAATTCCTACCAATAAATTCTCCATAGCTAAGGGTAGGAAAAGTATGGTGCAATACCTGGCCTAAAATCCCACAGGGCCTGCGGCCTTGGGGCTACGTGTGGCCTTCTGTATCCTTGAATGTTGCCTTTTGAATCTAAACTTTCCAAAACAGTAATTTGTTCCGTGAAGTTTAGATTCGGTCAAGGGGCCACACTTAGGGATCTGGAGGGTAACATGTGGCCTTGAGGCCATGGGTTCCAAGTTCTTTTTATATGCTGAAAGACCTCTGTTTGTAGGGGAATGTACACAATTCATAATTTGCAAATTGTATTATTGCATTATTCTACTCCAAAACCTTGACTCCATGATTGGATTATTACAGTAGTCTCTGGGCTAATCTCCTGGACTTTGGTTGCTCTACTTCAAATCAATTTGGGGTACTTTAAAATCAGTATTCGTAACATATCCATTTGATGCTGTCATTCCTTTCATATCTAGAATAAAATACAAAGTTCTCACGCTGAGGATCAAGCTCCACCACAAATGCACATATTTTCATCATCAGACGTTATCTATAATTTGTTTTTGCTGGAACTCTCTGTTCTGTTAGAAGCTGATCTCTTTACTGTGTTACAGAACTTCCCAAGGTTGTTCCCCCTTTGCTCATTGTTTTTCTTTCGACCAATTCAATCCCATCCTTCAAGGATGCTCTCTTCCAGCCTGCGTCCCTCTCTACCATTTATTGACTAAACTACTGCTTTGGCCACTTTACTCTCCACCACCTTTAATTCTTTACTGGCTGATCTTGGTGTAACTACACTCTCCTCTGAGATTATAGAAACCTGGAGAGCAGTGGTCATGCTAACTCGTCTCACATTTTCCACAGTACCATCCAGAGTATGTCTCAGGTATTTACTCATTATTTCACAAACACTTTTCTGATGAAACAAAAGTGACTAGCCAGGGTTATATAAATATAAGCACAAGTTCAAATAAAGATTGGGTCTACTGTGTGCTCTTATACTAAATGTTAAAACTGAATAATAGAGAGCAGTTGCTGGTAATTTGGGATCCGCTATAGCTGATTTCTTTGGCTGCCTGCTGGCTTCCAGATAAACTTGTGTTTTGACTTTAGATTAATGCTCATTTAAAACACTTAATCTGAAGAGGGAGTTTTATGTACAGTATAGATATATGGTTTTGATGATAAAACTAGATGGTACATACATATTGTAATGAGTCTTTCACCAAAAGATATTATGGAGAGTGAAATAAGCTCTTATGTATTGGGAGTATATGGAGAACTTGAAACCACCAATTATCACAGACCTAAAGATAAGAGACTCAAGCACGAGCTGGAAAGTTTCAGCACAGGCCTAACAGAATATAATCAATGCTGTATGTTGTTTTTATTATATATTTTAGTGAAATCATACTGTAGAAGTGTGGCATTCTGGATATATCTCTGACAGAATGATACTGTGTTCTCTTAATTTAGAGATACAACGTCTGAGGAGGTAATACAATCTTCAGGGCAGAGAGAAGGTAGGAGTAGCAAGTGAGAGTAAATCTAATACAAGTTTTGAAAGGCTGATTAAGAAATCTGGGGCAAGTACTATGATATCTTTAGTTTATTATTCTTATTTTTTAAATTTGAACATGGAAAATAGAAGCAACGGTTTTTAAAGATCAAGCCCACTAAAGCCTCCACTGTTGGCTCAAATTCATGGCTATTTCAGGTAAAATTTTTCTTTTCAAGATTGTCTCCTCCAATCTGTATTTTCTAGGGTGGAAATGAGTGCATATCTTCGTGAAACTTAAAAGCAACATGTACTTTATTTTAGAGAGAGTGTGTGTGTGCGTTCATGCACAGAATGTCTTAAACAGCCAATAAATTCTGAAGGGTGAAGGGATATGCATCATTTAGGCATTGCGTAATGCTTGAAGTTTATAAAAATTTCTGAACTTTGCTGCATATTTAAATATCTTTGTACCTACTTTCCATCCCTACAGATCTTCATAAACAATGAATGGCATGCTTCAGTGAGTGGCAAGAAATTTGCTGTCATTAATCCTGCAACTGAGGAGGTCATCTGCCATGTAGAAGAAGGAGATAAGGTGAGTTTTTAAACACTAGTTCCATTTTTATGCCAGGTTTCTTGGTTTCTTGCCATTGTGAGCTACCCAACCCCATTGTAAATTCAAGAGACATGTCATGAAAATATGGCTTCTGATGCAGTCTGGGGAACTTTTCTCAGTTGCTCTTGGTCCATAAAGACACTCAGTAGTCATGTCGTGATGATGATGAGCCTGTGCTTTTGGGTGTCTTGGTGATGTTTTCATAATATTTTTCTCTTGCTTGATTTTAAATTGAAATAGTGTCTAGATATATTATATAGGCTGCCTAAGAAGGGATTAATCATAGGTTTGAAATGGAGAGAAATATTTTATTAACATAACACTGTTCTAAGTTGCTAGAGAAAACTAAGAAGTTAACAGAACTTAAAGGACAATAAATTACCAAGTTATTTCATTAAAAATCATTGAGTTAATAATATTAATCAATATTTTTGATGTCTTAGCTCTGGAGCCTTGAACATTTAGCTTTGTTACTGGAAATAGTTTTATCAGTAAAATAAATCTCTGCTTCTGAAGTTCCATTTGAGACTTTGTCAGGTGGTCGAGGACTTTCCTTGGCATAGTTTGCAGGATTTAACCTTCTTCCTAGCGTGTAGTAAGGGAAAGCTGATGATCATACTAGAAGCCTTGGACATTTTTACCACTAACTTGCTCCGTGCTTATTGACAATTACTACTGCTCAGACAAGCAATCAGGGACAGTCAGTAACATCCAGCAAAGTTTCACATCAGGTCAGGATGCTGATTGAGGTAGTTGGACATTTGATCACTGAAACTCAATTGTTTATGATACAAACTGTTCGTGGTGAGTGGCTGTGTGCTTAACAACCAATGCTTTCCTATTCTTTTTCAGATTATTCAAAACTTTTGTTTTTAAATAATTATTGATGTTTTTGCAATTTTGTTGGCAAATGTATAGGAAACTACGATAACATTACCAAATGAAAGGTACAAATCAAGTAAATTACATAGTCACAGTCAACCTGATATTCTGAAACTGACTCTTTAAATAATGAGCCAAGAGGTTTTAGGGATTTAATTTAGAAGTAGAATGGTGCTCACAATGGGCTATATACCTCCTTTCAATGGTATTATAAAGAAAGGAGGAGGGAATAGAACAAATGGAGGTTACAAAGCAAAGAACAGATGTGGGTGGGAACTGTTTTCTTTTCACTTCAGTGGCTCTTTCAGGATATATTGACTAATCCTGAAAATTGCTTTTAATACTAAAGCATGACTTAAGAAATAATTGGTGGGGATAAAAGTAAATGTCCATTAAAGTAAGCGATTGTGACAGGTGTAAAAGTAGAACTGGTCTGATGACTATTTTCTGCATCTCTGAATGAATTTGGTGTGAGACACACCATGTGAGAGTGATTGAATAGTTTAGTTCTTCCTTAACTGTGCTTAACAGCCTTTTGATATCTCTGTAACATTTGAACGGTCTTCATCCATTTAGCTTGTGGCCCTTTCCTCAAAAATGGAACATTCTAAATGCCATAAATAAAAGTGGTATTAATGGTGGCAAATCCTAGTTTATGTACCAAATTGTTTTCTGGTTAATTAAAAAATTATATCTCTGAAAATGTCAGTCCTGAAACAAAAATCCAAGAAATCCCAGTCTTGGAATTAAAAAACAACCCTGATGCCTAATAGTTTTGAATAATGTAAAAATTTTTGTTATGTAATGAAATCTATTAAAATATGATTTATTATATAAAGGTCATAGAAGATGCATCTTTATATGAAAACAGTGTAACATGAGAAGTTTGTAAGATAGGTAACCAAATTATTAAATATTTATTGACTGCCTATTGTAGGCCCTGAATAGTAAGAAATACCATAGCTTATAATAGAGACAGTAGTAAATATTGAAAGGATTTCATTATTAGTGCAGCCTTGAAGTGCTATAAGAACTAGATTTTGGAGTCAGATATGGGATCAAATTTGGGTTCTACAGCCTGCTGGATTTCATGTCTATGAGCCATAGTCTACTCACCTGAAAACCAAAGTCAGTGATGCTTAACTATAGCAATACTGGTGGGACTGTAAAGGACTTATCTTGTTCCTGAAGCTTAGCAGGCTCTTGACTAGTAGCTGGATTACTCTGGTTAGAATGTAGGTAGATTGATATTGGAACTGGGTATTAAAGAATATGTAAGATTTTGAAAGTAAAGTGGTATAAAGTGGTGTACTGGTAAAACATTCTAGGCAAGGAGAGTTATAGGAGCAAAGGTGAGAAGGAATTGGGTCAGGCAAAGTAGAAAATAATGTGACACCAAGTTTGAATGGGTGAGGTGAAGCCCAATAATGTTGGGCCTTGAGAACTGGACAGAGGAGTTTGGCCTTCAGACTGTAGATAAAAAGGAACAGTTGTAAACATTTGGAAGAGAAAGTGATAAGATAAAAGTACTTGAAGGTTAGCCTGGTAACAATAGGCAAGACAGTTTAGGGAGAAAAGAGAATGAACTTGGGAAGGCCATTGATAAAATGAAATAAGAAGGGCCTAAATAGTGCAGGACAGTGAAAATGGAAAGGAGGATTAGAATATACTAGAACTCCTAAGAGTTACTGTTAAAGGTTGATTTGACTGCTAGGACTACAATAACAATTGTCACTTAACATCTGTCACACAGAAAATGTGTTTCAAGTGTTACCTTATTTAGTCTTCAACACAACCCTGTGAGGTAACCATGTCCCCATATTAAAGATAAGAAAACTGAACCTTAAAGAAGTCCTGCCAAAAGAAAAGTTCATCAGAATGTTTTTTTACTATTTATAATAATGTATTGGGGTGATCATTTGGTTGTATGTCTCTTTCATTTGATTATTCCAAAAGGGCAGTCTCCTTACTTCATTTTTCTGTCATTAGCAGCCTGATGCTAAGAATACTACAGAGTGGCATGTTTATTAAATCTTTAGATGGATGAATGTCTAGTCAAATGGCTCAAAGCTTACATAGCTAATAAGGAGAAACCAGAATTCAAATCTGGATTGTTTTGTTCCAAAACTATGTATTAACTACCATTATTCTATTTCTGCTCCTGCACAATATAAATATATAAGAAAAGGAAGGGCATGATCCAAAGAACATAAGCACAAGGACATCTTTCTTTAAAGCAGAATTCTCTAGGAATGTGTTTTCCATATAACAGGGTTACCTGTCTTGAAGCCAGTTTATCCATATCCCTTTGGGTGGTCAGAATTCCTAGAATGTCCCATATTTGGCAAAGGCTGATGACAGGACACTGAGCGGAAGATCCAAATGGAAGCTGTGTCACACAGATCTGTTTAAACACAGAGCAGCATATATTTTATAGGCCATGGTATCCACAAATCATACTGGCAATCTCAAATTCTTATGTATTGCTTTTCTTTATTTTTTTTCCACATTCCTTTCTGAATTTAACTTGGAAACAGTTAAAACCTATGAGATAAGACAGTGTCCAAATATAAGCAATCAATGGGATTAACTGAATGCCCCAAATATGCACGCTGTGTGTGTGTATGTGTGTGTGTGTGTGTGTGTCTGCACATATATATGCACACATACACACACAATCATATATGTATATTTCTTGGGACAGGCAAGCAACATTTATTTTATTATATTATTATTTATTATATTATATTATTTTATTGTATATCTTTATCGTTCTCTCAAAAGTTAGACAGTGAGATATACCAGTGTGTGATCTATTATAGAGAAAAACTCTTTGCTTATAGTCAGTAAATGCATCACTTGATCATACCATATTGCACTTCTAAAACATCCCTCTTACCCCAGATCTTCTTAGTTTGCTGATAAATCCTACAAAAATTATATTTCATTGGTAGATTTGTAAGTTTGGGGGTTTCTTTATTGAATACGGCCTAAGGAAGGGGATATTATTTTGAGGTCCATGTTTCTCCAAGGGGGAGGTGTCATGCTTGGATGTGATTTTTGTACAACTTAAAACAGTTAGGGTAATTATTCCCCCCTTCCTCAATTCTCAAAGGAAGTTATGTCTCCTGCAAAAATTTGCAAGCCACTGGTCTATCATGCCGTCATGATTTATGGAGCACACATATTCTCATGAAGCGGCCCGTCTTATGTACAAAATAACATTGAAATGATCTATGCCTTAAAGGTGCTTGTGGCTCACTTGATGGAGAACAAAATGGATATATGAAGTAGTAATGAAAGAGGAAGGTGGTGATTCTTATAGTAGGTATATTCTGTGGAGTTCAAAAGAGGTCTGAACAAAGATCTCCAGGGGAATGGAGTGGCCAGGACAACATTTTACATTTTAACTGAGGTGGATTAGGACAGAACCAGAGGAGATACCTGGTATCAAAAAACACAGGAAAGAAGAAAGAGCTTAGAGGGAGGCAACTCAACAGGGAATCAAGGAGGGTAGACTGGGTGGGGAGTCACTTTACTATTTGACTTTTGCTGGAATGAATGTAGTCTGAAGTAGTGCATTATTAATAACAAGAAAATGATTTCATTACCTGTATAGTGTTTTAAAAGATCTCTTTGTACCCAGATGGGAAAGGGGGGCTGCTGCCCCCTGCAGACCTTTTGATATACCAGGTCCGCTCCCTCTGTGCCTTTTTTGTGCCTTTTCCCTCTGCACTAAAGAAATGGGCATATGTTTATAATGTTTACTCTTCAGCAGCAAAGAAAAGTTCTTATTCACCCTTTAATAGGCCCTGCATGAGAATGGGACAGGCTGTAAAGAGTCAACAGTGATCAAAGAAGATATTCAATACTTTGGATCTTTAGCTTTTCCTGCAACTCCTATAATTCAGTCACCAAGGGAGTGTGATGTGTGGTGAGAGCAAGCGAAGGCTCTACAGTGAGATGAGCTCTGCCAAAAACTCATTTGAGCCACTTTTAGTTATTGACGTTGGATAAAGCTCTTCTCTCTTTGCTTTTTTAGTTTCTTCGTCTGTAAAATGGGGGACTTGTTTTTCCCTTTAAATGACTGAGAATTAAATGAGTTAATATGTGTAAAGTTATTAGAACATTGCTTGAGACATGGCAAGCATGCAAATGATAGCAACTATTACTATGATATTTATATTCTGGGAAATCAAGCATATGCAAGATGTGTGGACTGGTCATTCTAAAGATGACTCAGCAAGTGTAACTGCAATATGGTGTAGTTGAGTGTGCACGGTGTGCTAGACTTTAGGCTATTGGAGACACAGTGCCTGCTTGTAAGGAGCTTCAGTCTATTTCGCTGAGTTATCGCCATTGGATTTTCTGATCCAGTATGCTCAGCCTACTGAATTAAATTCCCTCTGACTCACAGGAGGATGTTGACAAAGCCGTGAAGGCCGCAAGACAGGCTTTTCAGATCGGCTCTCCATGGCGTACTATGGATGCTTCAGAGAGGGGACGACTGTTGTACAAGCTGGCCGATTTAATCGAGAGAGATCGTCTCTTGCTGGCAGTGAGTATTAACCAAACTGGATACTGGGATAGAGTTCTCAAAAGCATTTATTGTTTGCATTGGCAAGTTGTTTTGGTTTTAGTGATCACTACATGCTCTCTCCAAACAAAATGAAAAGACTTTATATCCCAGCTCTTGTGTAGGACTCTGACCATTGAGTTTATTCTCAAATATTCATCTGTACTCCAGTTCTGGGTGATGTTAATTTCTGCTCCCATAATAGATTCCATAGTCTAAATGTTGTCAAACCCCAAGTTAAACCAAATTAAAGAAATTTCTTTCCTTTACCTTGCAACTTCTTCTCAAATCCTTTAACAAGGTCACATGTAGTTTGAATCTCATGGAATGATGTACTGGGTTTCTTAAAGTACTTGACTAGTGAACTCTTTTAGGTGAAAACTCATCATTTGTGAAAGGTGCCCAAAATATTTCTCTAAAATAAATCTTATTTCTTTTTAGAGAAATGCATATCCAATAGCCCACCAAGGTATTTAATAAATAGCTACTTTTTCCCTCCCTGAAATGGCGGTTCAAAATGGTCATATTTAAATGATGTTCTTTTTACAAGTGAAAAAGACAAAGATTAAAGAAAAAAATATCCAATCATTGATGTGTTCATAAAAATTGTTTGTACTTTGTTTTTTTAATTTATATTTTAGCAATTAGACAATTCAGTGGTAATGTCCTTGTGGAAGGTATTTCCTTATTTTTTGTCTTCTCAGTTGGGCATTATAATGAAGCCAATATGACCCAAACCAATACCAAGATCAGGTTCCATAGTAAATTTTTATTACTTTTAGAGTCTTAAAATGGTATTTCCAAAGAAGCCTACTTCAAAAAAAAATCAACCCTAGCAATTATTGTTAAATATCGCTAAATGGACGATTTATCATAATTCACAATATACAAAAATATGGGACCAGAAGCTATGTACAATTAAACTATAAATGTCCTGTAGGAAGAAAGCAGAATTTGGTTAAACTTGGCTTCTCTTATTTATCTGATCTGTTGACTGCCTGTCAGCATAAGATCCTGTGGGGGAAAAAATACAGTCATATAAAAATTGTATCTGATTAAATTTTGAGATGGTAGACATTTTAATACAGAGACAAGACAGCATTAACAGTTTATCACCAGGATATTCCTGCCAGGTATTCACCCCAGCAGAACATTATATCCCAAAGAGCTCTCTGGAGTTCTGCTTAAGAAGAGAAGGAAAAGAGGAGATAGGTCATCCTATAAGGGATAGGGTGCTAGATTAGAAAATGTTGAACTTCATAGACCATTCAAATGATGATTATGATAATAAGGGTAAAACTGGGAGTTTCATAATTGAAAATTCTGCTGAAGAAAATTATGAATGAAAACTCCAGGTGTTACTTAAGTGTGTGTGAATAGATTGCCTATATAAAAATGGAATGCATAATTAAAAATGATTATTGAGGCATTATTAATAGCCACTGACACTAAATTGTCACACTAAATTGGATTACACAATAAGTGAAATCTTGTTGGAACTCTGATTTAGGATGAAGTACCATTCTCATCTGCTGTGTATGTATCAAATTATGACTGATTCATAGAAAATTTGCTAGCTGGAGGATATTCAAATGAGATTAAAAAGCACTAGTCTTTAGAAACCAGAATCTCACAACCCTTTGTACCCAGATCTTGCTATGTGACCTCAAGAAAGTCATTTTAACTTTTTTGAGTCTGTTTTTTAAAAAGAGGAGGTTAGACATTAATTATATTTTCAGAATTCTCTAGGACACAATTATTTAAAATATTGATTATATATTTTTTAATGTAAAATTTTTATGGAATTTGATCTCTTTTTCAGACAATGGAGGCAATGGATAGTGGGAAAATATTTTCCAACGCATACCTGATGGATTTAGGAGGCTGCATAAAAGCATTACACTACTGTGCAGGCTGGGCCGACAAGATCCAGGGCCGTACAATACCAGCCGGTGAGTAGCTTCAGGAAACCACTAGGGGTGGGAGTAGCAGTGACATTACTATAAATCTGAATAATTTTAAACTCTCCCTTTTAAAGATTTCAACCATGTAAGGCAAAATTGTATCCGCTAGACTTTGAGACAACACAGCTCTGAACCTGGAAGTTCTGTTAAGATTCATCAAATGGCTTTTTCAGTTTTTATTTCTTTGCTGCCAAGAAGACTCAGAACCAAGTAACCTTGGATGTGAGCTCCAACAAATGGCTTTTAAAGTTGTTTCTGCATAATCATGCAGAAACAACACTATGCATATTTTAGAAAATATTAAAATAAGAACATGCTTATGGCCACAATTACTGATTTGATGCAATTGTCTCTCTAAGGGCTCTAACTTTTTAAAGCTGGCCTCTGGAATTATTTCTTTGGGTTTATTCCAATAACCACATTTTTTACCCTTTCTATAATGTAATTATTTGTGCCTCTTTCCATGTCCAGGATGAGTCAGTTATAATCATCTGTGCCTGGTCAAACTCACTGAAGTTAGAACAGGCTAATTAAACAAACTAATTTCACATTGATTTGTTTCAAAGAGCTTCAAAGCAAGAAGGAACTGTGTTTATAGCATGAGTTAAGGATTCATGTGCGTGGACATGTATGTATGTAGTGGATTATGTACAAAATTGGGTAGAAATATGAAAAATACGTTATAGGAAATAAAAAAAAAAGCATCACTCTGGGAAACAGTATTGGTAGAATTTAATTCATGTAAACGTATTGACTTGAGGAATACAGCACCCTCTAGCACTGGCCCTGCTGTGCATTTCCAATCTACTTGGAATGTCCCATGGGTTAGAAGTGGTAACCAGAAAGTGAGAAGAGGAGAGTGAAACCATGGCAGTACCAAGAAATGTGACTATTTTAATGACTGTCTCACTTATTCTGGAACAAAATGGTAGAAGCCATTTAAAGCACAAATAGATCTCAATAAAGAGAGTTCTTGCTGAAGCCAGAGGCTTCTATGGAAACCAAAACAGAATTGAACACAAAGCACAACGTAACTCTTGGAATGATCACACCAAACTTTGAAGCACATGAATCAGTCAAATCTAGGTTAAATATAAATGTCCTTTATTTCCGGATTTTGTTTTCATGAATTAAGATAATTTACTTTTATTATTTGACAGGCAAATAGAAAACAACATTTTAGAACAAGTGAGTAGGAAAGGATTATTAATCATAGAGAGATTTTAAGAAATTATCTTGATTTTTAATTTTACTATTTTTTAAATTATTACATTTTTGAAAAAATATTACTATTACTGATAGAACTTTGAGCTGCCAGAAAAACATCTAAATGTATTTCTTCTCTTAGATGCAGACCTCTTCCTTCCTTTGTCATCCTTTTTTTTTAAATTAAAATTTGAGAAGAAGGATGATTTAGAAATCAGCCCTCTTAGATGATGAGAGATAGAATTAATTATCTTTCATATTATTTCCAATATTGTGTTTTGCTTTCACCTAACTCAATTTTATGGTTCCTGTCATTCCAAATTACTATTTGAGGACTCCATTTTCATTTTGCGAAGAGTTGGAGATGTGTTTTATATTTTAATTATTGTCTACACTGTTCTCTCATACCAGCCCCTAACCACCATTCTGTGAATGATGAGTACATTTGTGTATACATAATTGTGTGTGTGTTTCACTTTCTAGATGGAAACATTTTTACTTATACAAGGCATGAACCTATTGGTGTATGTGGCCAAATCATTCCTGTAAGTTGTTCTTCTATATAACTCTACATTTTTAATAAAATAATTCTAATTCTATAGGATTTAGTAATGAAGCTTCCTAAAACACAAATAGATTCCTATATATTTGTTTTTATTTATTTATTAATTTTTAATTTCAGAATATTTTACTGGGGTACAAATGCTTTGGTAACATAAATTGCCTTTGCATAGTCGGAGTCAGAGCTATACAAGCATGCCCATCCCCCAGACAGCCCGCACCACGCCTGTTAGGTGTGGATTTACCCATCCCCACCCGGCCCCTCCCACCTGCCCGATCCCCAATGAATGTTACTTTTGTATGTACAAATAAGTTTTGATCATTAGTACCAATTTAATGGTGAGTATATGTGGTGTTTGTTTTTCCATTCTGTGATCCTTCACTTAGAAGAATAGTGTTTAGTTACAACCAAGTTAATACAAGAGGTATTAGTTTACCATTTTTTATGGCTGAGTAGTACTCCATATTATACATATACCATATTTTATTAATCCACTCATGTATTGATGGATACTTGGGTTGTTTCACATCTTTGCAATTGTGAATTGTGCTGCTATAAACATTTGAATGCAGATGTCTTTTTTACAGAATGTTTTTGTTTTCCCCTTTGGGTAAATACCTAGTAGTGGGAATTGTGGGATCAATTGGTAGTTCTACTTTTAGTCTTTGAGGTATCTCCATACTACTTTCCATAGAGGATGCACTAGTTTGCAGTCCCACCAGCAGTGTATGAGTGTTCCTCTGTCTGCATTCACACCAACATTTGTTTCGGGACTTTGTGATAAAAGCCATGCTCACTGGAGTTAAGTGATATCTCATTGTGGTTTTGATATGTATTTCCCTCATGATGAGAGATGTTGAGCATTTTTCATGTGTTGGTTGGGCATTAATCTTCTTATATATTTGTTAAATATGGAGTAAATAAAGGATTTGTTGAACTTGGTCTCCCTGTGACTAAACATCTTAGATGTGAATTAGGTAGTCCAAAAACCTATCTATATCCTGGCATGTCTCTTGAGAGTATCTCAGAACTATAGTATCAACAGAATTTAATCTTTTACTCTATGGGTTGTCTTTTAAAAATCATATTATGTGCTCTCTTTAAGAGCCATGTTTTACACGTGTATGGCAAAGTGCCCATCGCTGGCACATCTGCAAGTCACCATTTTAGTGAAATGTAGTAGGCTCTGTTGGTCTCCAGCACTCTTCATCTCCTCATTGAAGCTTCTTATCATGGATAATAGTACCAACCAGAGTGTTCTAATCTTGAAAGATATTTTTAAGTTAAAATGAAAGAAACAATACCAGAGGCATTTAGAGAACTATATGGAATATACTGTGTCTTAAGATGAGGGGCTCTGATACCCCAAGTTCTCCTTAAAAAGGTACTATTTTTTTAAATTGGAATTGTGAAGATTTCCTTTTAAGATTAATAAACAGGAGACTATCTAAATGATGTCTCTTTAACAACAAAGTATATACTTCAGGAGGCCAAATAAAAATATGGTGAAGTATCTTGAAGTTCTTAGATGAATAACTGGCTATTGTGTTTCACTCCAATGAGATTGAAATGTGTCTGTATCAAAATTTTTAATGAAATTCCTCATTAATTCAAAAATTACAGGAACATTTATAAAAACTAGGTAACTGCAAATACTAATAATGGCTAATATATACTGTGTGCCTATGATGAACCAGTCACTATGTTAAGTTCTTGGCCCACTTTCTTGATAATCCTCAGGACAATTATCTGAGGTAGAGAGGACCATCATTTCATCACTTAAAGATGATGCAGTTGATCATACAGTGCAAGTAACTCGTGTAACTTCACATGGCTGGTGGTAATTGAGTAATTTGAACCCAAGCACTCAGTTTCTGGATCCAGGATATCTTTGTCTTTAACAAGATATTTGTCCTAGAAATAAATGCTACTAATGATATAATTAGGTAAATAAACTAATAAATACCTGTGGGGTGGAGAAATATTCACACTTTTTCAACACTTACAGATCACTTATAATATGCTTAATGGTATGACAAACCATCAGTGATTTTGTCTTTTTGATAGAAGAACTCAAATTGACAGTACTTGATTAAATTTTGGAGATCTCTCCTACTCCCTTCCCATATCTAGTTTATTTACAGAATCTTATCATTTACTAGTTGCTTTTAGCAACAAAGTTAATTAGAATACACCAGATGATTACACAACAATACGACAATTACATTTTAATCTCTGCAGGGGGTATATCATGTGAACTTAGATTAGGAAATGTGCTTTTCAGCAATACAAAGAATCTCTTGGTTAATATTGTTGTAGTGGAATTTTCCCGTTGTTCATGTTTATTTGGAAGATAGCACCTGCCCTGAGCTGTGGAAACACAGTAGTTGCAAACCAGCAGAGCAACTCCTCTCACTGCACTCCATGTGGCATCCTTAATAAAGAGGTAAGTCTCCTATATCAAACTGTGCCACAGAATCCATTCCTAATTTACAAGAGGTGGACTTCATTTGGTGCTACTGTAAACTACATTATTTACAAGAGTCTCCGTCGAGTGTAGGGATGCATTTAGCATGGCTGCTGGCTGGGATTCCTGGCAGTTCACCCAAAGGAGTCTCTGCCCAAATGCAGACAGGAAGTCCAATGCAAGGGCTTGGTGTCAGTCACCTTGTGATCACTTTTTGGTTTCTTTTATCCAACTCTTGTGAACATAAATTCATATTGACATTGATATAGTATTCTTTCAAATTTTGAAACGTTAAATTGGTTTGTCCCTGCCACTAATGGACTTGTGATTTCTGCAAATTTGTTTGTATTACTGTGTTTCCCCGAAAATAAGACAGAGTGTTATATTTATTTTTACTCAAGAAGACACCCTAGGGCTTATTTTCAGGGGATGTGTTATTGTTTTAAGTACGGTACAACAATCTACATTTATTCAAATGTAGTTAAGTCATCTTCTTCTGGAACATCATCATAACTCTCCAAACCCCGAATTCCATCCTGAATTTCTTGTGACTCTATTTCCTTTAGAACCATTGGCCCCAATCTCTCATGTTGAGCAATAGAGCTCTCATGGGGCAGATGAGAAGGGCTGCTCGTCTTCTTTACTGCTCTGCGAGGAAATGCATGGGTTGTGCAGATACGCTGCGTAGCCACGCCCATCACTAGGTCTTATTTTCAGGGTAGGACTTATATTGCGCAAATGCTAAGAAATCCTGTTAGGGCTTATTTTATGGGTAGGTCTTATTTTTGGGGAAATACAATATTAGGCCACATTATTTCTAAACACATCTACCCATAAGTGGACATTTATATTCACTTTTCTAGTATTTTCTCTGCATTTGTCTTCCTGTTCAAAAGTGATAAAAGAGCACATGAAAGTGATTTTTATCAACTACCTATATTGTGTTAATATACTTTTTTTATGCAAACAATTCATTGTCCTTTTGTTTTCTTATCTTACCAAAACTTAAAAAACAAGCATTAATTACTAGAAAATTCAATTTAGGAAATTTGAATTCATATTTTAAAAATATTCTGTATTTCAAATTACAAACATTCAAAGGAGATATCAAAATGAAATATTTTAATATTTTGATGCAATTAATATGAAATTTTAATATGCCCTACTCAGTTCCCACACTTTCTACCTTAATTCTTTAACTGGAGTTAAAATCAATCCTGAAGTGCAATCATAAATGGGATGACTATGCTTATTTAACATTTTACTGATTATATAATGCCAATGGGGCTCTCACCTCAGCTGTTATGCCCTGAGCAACTGACAACAGCTAGAAACTAGAAACGTGAGATCCCTTTAGCTTCTTAGTTTTGCTGGTGGGGCTGATAAACACATTGCTTTCCTTCTACTACCAAACACTTATACTTTCTTTGTGAGTTACTATAAAGAGATTTGAGACAGTCATCAGTGGAGCCCTAATCCATAGCTTTACCCTGAGGAAAAATGGGCCTTCAGTAGTGCAACGCTTCAGGTTACTTTTATGGGGGCTAAAAATAATGTAATATATTGTTGATACTATATAATAACTATAATAACAACAATAATAATAAAAGAATGAAACCACTTAGATGAATTTTCCTTTTTTACCTCTCAGGCAGGGTTTCCTCCTGGAGTGGTGAATATTGTCCCTGGTTACGGGCCTACTGCAGGAGCAGCCATCTCTTCTCACATGGATGTAGACAAAGTGGCCTTCACAGGATCAACAGAGGTAATGTCACTTACTCAGCCCAGAAGTTAAGAGTGTCTGCATCTCCAGCTATCAGAAGCCAGAAGCATGTTTTATATAACTGTTTTTGAGCCAATACTTTCTTAAAACAAAAGTTCCTTTTAATGATCCTTATTTTAGCCTTCAAATATGTGTACAGAACATAAGCAGATGTACTTTGGATGAAATGAAACACCTATTACAAACTTGGACTAGAGTGAACTATTTTTAACATGTTCTCATTATTTATGATGAGAAATATGGTTGTTGAAATCTTGTCCTATGATTAGTAAGGTTCACAGTAGAAAATGTAAATTAGGCCATAGGTGATTTTTTTATGAATGAATGTAATGTTATCCTGTAGATTAGGAAAATTAAATAGTAGAGCCTCACCCTTAGCTTACCCCTAGCTCCTTATCTGGGGCTCTCTCCTCCTTAGACATTCAAAAGGGGAGCCAGAAACTCACCTTCCTTCAATGTTACTCTTGGCCTAGCCTAACTTTTCTGTCTGGCTCAAGCTTGGCCATCCAAAGGTTAAAGAACAGGGCCCCAACCATGAGCACTGCCAGGAAAAGCAGGAAGGAGAGAGAGAAAGACAGCATTCTGAAAGGTAGACTTTGGAAAATGGATCCCCCATTTATGGAGATAATTTTGTATCCTAACAAAAGAAAGTGGTGAGATCATACTGTACCAAGAAAAAAAAATCATTGAGTCATTCTGTTAGATAATGTGACATTGTTAGATGCTGAATGCAATGACTACTGTATGCCTTTCATCAGTATACAGTATAGACCTTGAAGAGTGAGCATCACCCCATCTTAGAAAGCTGCCAAGGCAAGTAAGAATCAAAGCAGGATGTGACAAGTACTTAAATGTGTACAAAGTGCTGTGAGGAGGTTCACAGGAAGGAATAATGATGTCCAAATGGGTGCTAGAACTTGCTGTGAGCTTTGAGGATTTGCTACCTTTTTTTTCCTCTTAGCTGCCTGGAGATTGAGAAGCAAAAAGAACATTTCAGACAGGGAGGTGAAGCTGATTCCATTACTTTATGATCCCAATGAGCTACTCCAATATAAAGAAACATTTACATATAGAACAGAAATGTTGGAAGATCAAATTTTCTTGATAGTTTTAAAATGAGATAAATACATATATATTTTTCTTTGTTTTTCATAGGCATAGAGTAGTAAAAGTTTGCATTCTGTAAATCCCTAATTGAGGCAGGGGAAAGCCAGCCCCACATTCAGGATTTATTGTGAACAAAACAAATGGGAATGTTCAAGACGTGGCAATAAATTTTAAAATGGTGAAATCACAGGTTGAAGTCATAGCAGAGAAAGTAAAGGAAGTAAGGAACAAATTCCTCAGCCTGGACTTCTAGCCCTTCCCCAGCAGGGAATCCATGTAGCTTTCAAGGCCTAGAACCACACCTGCTCACTCTCCAGTTCATCTGGACCAGGGGTTGCTGTTCCCTGATCCCAACTCCAGCATCAATGCCTGTCTGTCTTGGCTCGTCCCCGAGTCTCTGTAGCATTTGGGGAGCAATTTCCCTACCTAAAACATCCCCAAATCCTGGAGATTAAAAAATAAGAAACATGTGTGTTCATATTCTGACTCTATCTCTCCTAGCAGTGTGTCTTCAAAAGTTAAATATCCTGGCTAGTTTAGTTTCTTCATTTTAAAACAGAGACGATAATATCAACCTTACCGAGTTGCACAGAATAAAACTAAGTGAGCTAATGAGTAGTGAAAGATGTAGCATCCTACCCAGCACTCAGTAAGTGTCATGGTTGTTATACGTGTCTGTACTCCTTTCCTTTTTCTCTTTCCTCTCCCACTCTTTAATTTCTCAGATAATTTGGAAGGTGTGAGGGAAGAGCTTCTTCTCCCTATAAATTCTCCTCATCTCTGCCACTCTCCCCATCGCTTCCTGATTATTCCATGTACCTTTTCACTCCCACATGCTTTTCATTCACACGTGGTCATAACGTGTTCCAACCTGGCTCCCACCACATATTCGCTGGCTGGCTTTCTCCTCTCCTCTGCAGTCGCAGGAGCTCTCTGAATTTAACAGTGCCCGTCTGTGTTCCCATTGTCCGTGATACGCAGCTATAAGAGCCCGTGCCTGTGGCCTTTTTATGTGTCTTTCTCTCCCTTCTGGAATATCCACAAAGGCTCTTGTTCATTATTATCCAGCGAAACCAGTACAGTGACTAATTCTAAATAAATATTAAAGAATTGAGTGTGAACAATATGATTTTAGAAGCCACACGGAAAAACCCATCTTAGTTCCAATGCATGGAACTTAGGTCCATGCTTTCTGGAATCTCTTTCTGGGTTCTCTTTTAGCTTCAGGTTTTTTGCTGGGCAGATAGATATCAGGGAACTTAGCAAATGCCATGACAAAGGCAAACAATAGATTCCCTCCTTTGTGCTCATTGTAGCAATGATTTCCCTTCTAACAATACTTTTATCAAGATAAGATTTTTTTTTGAGAATTTTTAATGTCCTATAAGATTCGTATAAAATAACACTGTACCCATATTGTGCAAGACATAGGAAGTTATACCCTCTTCATGAGCATTTGCTACTTCTGCCCCAGGTGGCAATGCCACAATATAATAGAATATACTATTTACCCTTCGTCTTAATAGTTTTTCCTTTTCTTCAATTGCAAACCTCTTTCAGAAAAATGATAAATCATTACTTTTTTCTAAGAGAAAGAAATCATGAGACAAAAATGGATGTTTCTGTAGTTTGCCTTTGGCCAAACTTTTTGGAAAATACAAGCAAGTCTTTTATTTGCCACTTAGACTTCCACCAAGCAAAAATGGGGCCTTTCTCCCTCATCCATAATTCTAACCATTCTTCATGCTAGTCGTTTTGACATCTGCAGCTCTCAGAAAAATACTTCAGGTTTTAGTCCCTTCCCTAACATAAAAGTTATCTACTTTAATAGAACTTCTTCAGTAAAGCTAAATTAAAAAGAGGAGAAGAAAGAAAACTGGTACTGAAAGAAATTGGGAAACTGAAAATGGGAAAGGAAAAGAATGTTATCTAGAATTTAAAAAAAATTATTAATCACCTTAAATAAAAATCCAGCAAAGAAGTATGTTATGGAATAAAAATGGGATACAAAAGACATTACAGACAGGGTTCCCCAATGCAAGTCTATTTTTATAAATAGTTTGTTTTTATTAATCTTCTTTTAGTTGTTTGATTTATCTTTTTAAAAAATTTTTTTATTTCACCATATTACGGGGGTACAAACATTCAAGCACATATATTGCCTTTGCCCCACCAGAGTCAGGACTTCAAGCATGCCCGTGCCCCACACGATGCACACCGCACCCATTAGATGTGAATACACCCATCCCCTCCTCCACCCTCCCACCTGCCCAACACCTGATGAGTGTTACTACTACATGTGCGCATAAGTATTGATTAATTAATACCAATTTGATGGTGAGTACATGTGGTGCTTATTTTCCATTCTTGTGATACTTCACTTAGAAAAATGGGCTCCAGCTCCCTTCAGGATAATACAAGAGGTGCTAGATCACCGTTGTTTTATGTGGCTGAGTAGAACGCCATGGTATTCATATACCACATTTTCTTAATCAACTCACATATTGATGGCCACTTGGGTTGTTTCACATCTTTGCAATTGTGAATTGTGGTACTATAAACATTTGAGTGCAGATATCTTTTTTATAAAATGTCTTTTTTTCCTTTGGGTAGACGTCCAGTAATGGGATTGTGCATTGAATAGTAGTTCTACTTTCAGCTCTTTGAGGTATCTCCCTATTACTTTCCACAGAGGTTGTACTAGTTTGCAGTCCCACCAGCAGTGCATGAGTGTTCCTATCTGTCCACATGCACAGCAATATTTATTGTTTTGGGACTTTTTGATAAAAAGCCATTCTCACTGGAGTTAAGTGATATCTCATTGTGGTTTTAATTTGCATTTCCCTGATGATTACAGATGCTGAGCATTTTTTCCATATGTTTGTTGGCCATTAGTCTGTCTTCTTTTGAAAAGTTTCTGTTCATGTCCTTTGCCCACTTTTTAATGAGGTGGTTTGATTTTTCTCTTGATGATTTTCTTGAGTTCTATATAGATTCTAGTTATCAGCCCTTTATCGGATGTGTCACATGCAAATGTTTTGTCCCATTCTCTAGGTTGTCTCTTTGCTCTAGTGATAGATAGTTTCTTGGCTGTGAAGGAGCTTTTTAATTTGATTAGGTCCCATTTATTTATTTTTGTTATTGCCATGGTTGCCTTGGGGATCTTATTCATAAATTCTTTCCCTAGGCCAATGTCTATAAGAGTTTTTCTGACATTTTCTTCTACAATGCTTATAGTTTCATGCCTTAGGTTTAAGTCTGTTATCCACTGTGAGTTGGTTTTTGTGAGAGGTAAGAGGTGTGGATCCTGTTCCAATCTTCTACATGTGGCTATCCAATTTTCTCAGCACCATTTATTGAATAAAGATTCTTTCCCCCAGTGTATGTTTTTGTCTGCTGTGTCAAATATTAGATGGCTATATGAGGATGGTTTTATATCTGGTACTTAGTTCTGTTCCATTGGTCTATATCTCTGTTCTTATGCCAGTACTATGTTGTTTTACTTATTAAAGCCTTGTAGTATAGCTTGAAGTCTGATAAATTTATGCCTCCCAATTTGTGCTTTTTGCTTAAGATTGCTTTGGCTATAGGGGGTCTTCTCTGGTTCCATATGAAACAGAATTATTTTTTCTAGATCTGGGGAAAATTATGTTGATATTTTAATAGGGATTGCATTGAATCTGTAGATTATTTTGTGTTGTATAAATATTTTAGCAATGTTGACTCTACTGATCCATGATTATGGTATGGTTTTCCACTTGTTTACGTTCTCTGCTATTTCCTTCTTCAGTGTTTCATAGTTTTCTCTGTAGAGGTATTTTACCTTCTTAGTTAAATATATTCATAGGTATTTTATTTTCTTTGTTGCTATGGTGAAAGGTATTGTGCCTTTGATTTGGTTCTCGGTTTGACTGTTGTTAGCATATAGAAATACTGATTTGTATACATTGATTTTGTAACCTGAGACTGCTGAATTTGTTTATTAATTCCAGTAGTTTCATGGAAGAATCTTTGAGGCTTGATTTATCTTTAAATATGATGAGAACATTAGCAGATTAATTAATGTTTTATTCTATAATGCATAGTAGCAGTTAATTCAGTAACCACATAAAATTTCAACATGCGCTTAGCATGCATTTACTTAGCTTTTGTTCAGTTCGGCTAGAAACTTTTTATTAAAATCTAACATGGGGAGTAGGAAAGGAAACCCAGAGAATAAAAGAGGCAAAATATAGTAAATTATTTTTAAAAAAGAAAAGAAAAGATCACTTTAGTGGATTAGGCTTCAATAAAAATGATAAAGATGAAATAACTATGAAATAGACCAAGTTTTAGAGATAGAAAAACAGGAATAACTTTAGAAAATAATCTTGAAGGGAAGTAATCTATAAGGAAAAAATTGAAAACAATAGAGGCAACTAGCATTAAGAAAGAAACCAGAATAGTAAGTTTCCAGCTAACTAAAGTAGCAGCAGAGCACAGATCCAATTTCTTTCTTCTAACTCCATTGTTCAAATTATGTATGTTATGGGGAAGGAAAGAGAGAGAAGTCTGTCAATCAACAGTTAAATGAGCCCACTGTGGATAGATGCTACTGAGAAGAGGTATGTAGCATTAGGGTATTGTCACTGCTACCAAAATATAAAATAACATAATATATATTATAAAAATACATAATATAAATAAAAATATATAAAAATAATATAATCTGAGGCAGACTCTGAGGGAGTTTCCATGAAATCCTTTGGAAGGACAGGAGAAGAGAGATGTTTCTACCTAGATCATCAGAAGGATTCAAGAAGAAGCTAAGATATGAGCTGGACCCCCAAAAAGAATAGAATATGGAGGCAGCCCAGGTTGGGGTGGGCATATGATGAGAAGAGCAATGAGATTCAGGACGTGGTGAATATGCTAGTTTGGCTGGTAGCATTCTCTGAGTGTCAGTAGAGGGATGAAAAGTCATAATAGTTAAGTTGTGATTGGGTCATGATGTGTCTGGTATATCCATAGAGAGATGAAATTTTGATTAAAATAAAATATAACCTCCTGCATAGCCAATCTGGATCAGCTCTCATGTTCTGTATCTGTGCTGTCTTACCGATGAGCATTTTTCTGATTCTTCTGTGTCTGTATGCTTGGAGAAGGGAGCCTTTTATATTTAAAAGTGCCAAATCTTGAAATATGTCAGTTAGGGTTTCTCCTGAGTTTTAATTTAACTGTGAAGTTTAACTATGGCACAAACGTCATATAAATTTAAAGCACTAAATAAACCTGTCTTCGTGAGTGCAGATTAAGCCTTCTCCCTCTGTAATGCTCCATTTCAGGTTGGCAAATTGATCAAAGAAGCTGCTGGGAAAAGCAATCTGAAGAGGGTGACCCTGGAGCTTGGGGGGAAGAGCCCTTGCATCGTGTTTGCTGATGCGGACTGTGAGTATGACCCACTTTCGCTTTTTGTCCTTTCTGGTGTCTGATAAAGCCATTCAATGAAATTAAATTTTCCAAAAGGGTTTGCTTCTAACATCAAAGTATAGGGAATTAATCAGAGTGCAGAATTACTCTTGAAAATTTTTTAAATCGTCCTAAACTTATAACTCATGGGTAAGTTTAACACAGACACAATTTCTTCCTGGTTTGGAAAAGATTGCTATTTCCTCACCTAAATTCTGGATAACATAAACATTTGGCATTTAGGGACCATGCTATGGATAAAATTCCATGCCTTTAATTATTAGTATCATATTAAACGTAATGAGATACTCCACAGACATGTTGCCCTGAGACCAAATGAAGAGACAGCAGTTTCACACTTGGCATCCCCCTTCTCTCTGGCTCATATGCTCATTAAATGAAATGTCCAGAGGAAAATCACACCTACTCTTTAAATAAATTATCTTTTTTTCCCTAGCAAATACAGTTGGGTTTATGTACAAAATCTACAATTGATAAGAGCCAACATATATGTTCTGGGCTCCATTCCTGATTAATATACCAAGTAAAATCCAAAATTACTTTTCTAAATAAAAGTTAATTAGCAGAAGTAGATGGTCAACTCTTTCTTTCATAGCTCTGTTATTTATTTGAAGCCATAAACACAAATGCTTCATAGAATAGGCCTGTGTTGTTACTGTGACTTAACTGAGGTTTTTTTGGACTTATTATTTGTTAAACATTCTAAAAACATGAAAAGATTCCCAATTTGGTCTAAGGTTTCTGTAAACCAGTCCCACTACAAACTAAGCAGGTGTGAGTAGAATAACACCCAGTTGCTATACTGTTAGCTTGAATCTTCCACATAAAATTAAAAATGCAAAGAAAACTTTATTCTTATTTAATCTACTAAGGTTAACTATTATTCTTTTAAGGTACATTCTAATGTCTAATTAATGGATAGACGAATTTATAGGCATATATAGAAATATATTGAATCACGTTTATATGATTTTAAAACGTCTTTGCTAGATAAGCCATGTAGGTGGGTAAGTGATTCGTGAGTATTATGGCGGTTTTTTTGCTGGTTTTTTTTTAGTTGTTTTGGGTTTATTTCATTTTTTTTTCCCACGAAGAGCATTCCTTTTGTATCAAATATTAAAGATCTTTTGAGATTATTTCATGCAAAGACATTTCAGATTTCTTTGTTATCTACTTAAAACATGAGGCCTGAAATAAATATTCACATTCATCTAATAACAAAGGGAGATATTTATAAAAATCATTTGCAATGAGATTTAATCTATGATCAAATCCACATTCTTGATGATATCTATATTAAAGTTGTAAATAACCACTATTTTTTTCAAATTTTGCTATTTTTTGGTATTTTTCCATGGTAAATAAAGTTGACGGATTAATTTGTCACCAGGATGTTAAGAGGTGGAATATGTGTGAGCCCATGTCTGACTATAAAACTCATAACTTTTTTTTATCACCATATTGCCTCTAAGAAATATATATACATACCTACATATATATATATATATATATTATATACACGCCCACAATATATAATCTTTAGGAAATATCTCTTCTATAATTTGAATGTCTTCCTTGCAGTGGACAGTGCCGTTGAATATGCACACCGAGGGGTATTCTACCACCAGGGCCAGTGTTGTGTAGCCGCATCCAGGCTTTTCGTGGAAGAATCAATTTACGATGAGTTTGTTCGGAGGAGTGTAGAGCGGGCTAAGAAGTATGCTTTTGGAAATCCTCTAACTCCAGGAGTAAATCAAGGCCCTCAGGTGAGTATACAATACAAGGGATATTCTTGTCCCCACTTTCAGGGGACAAGAATAAAATATCTTCTTTAGGCCTAGATTTCATTGAATAAGAAGGTTATTTTCCATGTACGTGTCTTCCCAGGTAAAAATACTGTGCCAGTTGGTGATAAAAAAAATCAATTCCCAGTGATAAAGAAATCATTCTGTTTTCGTGTTGCCCAGTTTTCCTGCCTGGAACAGTACAAGAACCATGCTGGAAATTAAAGACATGAAGGAAATTAGCGAATGCTATAAAGTTCTTGCTCTCCTCAATCTGCACACCTCTTGATTACTACATACAGTTCTCTGTCCACTTTGAAGTTCTTCTACTTTCCTATCATTTCTTCCTCTGCATCAATCCTCCATCTCAGCTGCCATCCAATAGAGATGTACACCCCTAAATCCTCTGCAAATTTCAGTCACTCTGACCCTCTAATGGTAGCATGAGTGTTCTAAAAGTTCCCAATTTCTGGGTTTGTGGCAGACTTCTCATTTTATTGCTAAGCTGAATTATTCCCCTGGGTTTCTTTGAACCATTATCAATAAAAATGCCTCTCTTTATGCAAAGGCCACCTTTCCCTCTTCCTTGCACTGTTCTCTGTTCATTTGTCTGTTATTCAAGCTTCTACACGTTTGGTTCTGAATTTCCTCCTGTCCTTTAAGGTTTTGTTCTAAAGCAGTGATTCTCAACTAGGAGCAATTTTGCTTGCCTCCCCCAGGGGATAATTGTCAATGTCTGGAGATACTTTAGGTTGTCATGACTTCAATGAGGAAGAGTAGTTCTACTGGCATCTGGTGAGCAGAGGCCAGAAATGCTGCCAAACATCTTACAATGTACAAGAGAGCCCCCAAACAGAGAATTATCTAGCCCCAAATGTCAATAGGACTGCTGCTGAGAAATCCGGCTCTATAGTCTAGACATTAAGTTTAGAGGCTTTGTCTTTTCACGCTAAAGCTTATACACTGTGCCATGCTGTTGATTTGAAACCAAACACTATTCTTGACTTATTCTAAGCCAAAAATAAATTCAATGAACTAAAATTTAGTGAACACTGCTGTCAGCTAAACCCTGAGATAGGTTCCTGACAAAGCCAAAAGGAACAGGGATGACATGATCCCTGATCTCATGAGTGTACATTCTAAGTAAGTTAGAAGAGTATCTTGGACTTTTGTTACCATTCCAAGATATCCAAGTAGAAGAATCTTAGGACTTAGGCAATGACAAATATTAAAACCTAAAAGCCCTGGAATACTTTCATCAGGAAATGAAGTAATTTGTTTTATGTTGATCCCATTATATTTTGCATTTTTTTCGAATTTAATGGGTACATAAAGGTAGTTGCCAATTTTTATCATATTTGGTAACTTTCAAAGGGATGCCAAGAAATTTATTGAATTCAATATGACTTAGTCACCCATTCCACAAAAGAATGGATTTCCAAGTTTTCTTTTGTGATTATTTCTCTCTCTAAATATCTATATATGTGTCTATCTGTCTAAAAGAAAAGCCCTTTGTCATTTGATTGACAAATAGCTGATAGATAATGGATGGATAGATCTGAAGAGAAAAGAGAAGAGAATATCTATGATACTTCCTACTGAACATTGGTTAAGCAAGACTTTCCTTCATTAGAGTTCTGCACAATTCAACCAGAAGCTCAAAAATTGGGCTAGAATCTTATTATTTTTAAGAGAAAGGAGTTAAAATAGACATATAAAAATTATTCTTCATAGGATGGTAAATAATCCAGTGATCTGATTAATGTAAGAGTTTAATAACTATAAATGAAGAGTTTTTATCACAGGTTGCACTGAGTAATTAGGATAAGTAGGTATGTTGGAACTTTGAGAAACAATACTGAAAAGCCCCCAAGCTTCTTTATACTTAAAAATATTCATTTGTTCTTAAGAGCAAGAGCTTATGAAAGAGGTATACTCTTTCACTGAGCTTTATAGTCTGTTGCCTCCTCCACTGGTATCTGAGTAAAGTGAGGATTTTTAAAAATATAGCTATGAAATCTTTTTCATTAAATGTAAAAACAAAACAGTTACAGAGAAAATAATCACCATAGAGGTTTGTTTTGGAAAAAAAATTGTAAGAGTTTTTTTTTTTTTAATTTTGAAGATTACAAACAAAATATTTGGGAGTTAGACCATGCAATATACATACAAATATGTATATTTTATATATTTATATTATGTGTTTATATATATATTCATTTGTAAAGTGATTTTCCTATTTCACTTCATAGACAAAAATGTGCATTTCCTTAAAAACTTGGAAAAATCAGTATTTTAATTTGAAAAAGAAGTGATGATATTCATGTAAACTATGCTAACATTATCAGCACGGTAGCATCTTGTTATAATGTGGAAAGGTGGGTGTTTGAGTTACAGGCTGAATTTAAAATCTAAGTTTCATGAGATTCTATTTCTTCATCTATAAAATAGAGATAGCATTACCAAGCTTATAGGATCCTTCTGCAGGGAAATGATATAATCCATATAATTCTTCCATCAGAGGTGTTGAATTTACTGCATATGCTCAAGTCTCTGTTAAATAAATATAAATAGAAGTTTGTAATTTTAATTTATGGTGATAATTATAATACAGATAAATGACTTCTTTAGTCTCATGACTCTTGGTGATCTATGGTTTCTAAATAATTTCAGTTATGTGTCAGAGTCTTTTCTCAATTTGTCTTTTTCTTCAACCCATCAAGCCTAAGGAATCAAAGAATTTGTACAAACACATGAAAATGTGTACTCTGAGACTGTTAGAACAATATCATTGATACCAATCATTTCCTAGACTAGCCATGAGCCCAGGGCCCTCACACAGTAGAGGCCCTCCCTTATTCCTATCGAGCAGTGCCTGAGGTCCAGAAAGAAGGCTAAGTTCACATAAGGTCAATCTGACACCCCTGAAGAAGGTTTATATTTACTCTGAATGAAAGTTACCTAAACCAAACACATGTGTCCCTAAGTATAACTGGAATGTTTTGTCACTAACCCCAAGCTCCAGCACAGTGTTCTCAGTCTTTCCTGTGCATCTGAATCATCCAAGGATTCAGTACGTGTGGGGTGGGGTCCGAGAAGCACATTTTGCTACCTAGTGATCAGAGCTGCTGGCTGTAGGACCACATTATCAGTAGCAAGCACTGAAATATGAAGTCCTGTAGTTTTAGAAGTTAGTGACCAGCTAAGTTTTCCAACAAACAAATCCTTTCAGCCTCTTTCTCTAGTACATATGCAGGGATTGGATTGTCACTGGGTATCACTGTGCTCACAGACAGGAAAACATTATGACTTGGGAAACATATCTTGAAATAAAAACCAAAAAATCATGTTGAAGTCATAGTCAGATCATATCTTGGAATAAGACAGAAAAGCTTCTCATGGAGGAACATGGATCCTTGACTACTTACTGAAAAACTAGAATATCTTAACCAAGCAGAATCTCTCTAACACTACCCACTTAGCCTAGTTGTATTCAATTTAAATACCTTAAACCCACACTACAACTTTCTTAATCTGTGAGAAATGAAGGAAGGTTTGTTTTTTGAAATATTCTATTAAATATGGTGCATTAAAGAGCATTGAACAACATTGTATCAAATATTGTGCCAAATTTTAGAATGTAGTTTCTGGTTTCAAATAGCAATTAACCTATGATTAGTTAAATATGAGAGCTGGGGCCTGGAACATTTGCAGAATCAAAGAAGAATATAAAGAACACTTTCTAAGTAATGAGAAGAGACAAGTTAAACTGGGAAGAAACTCTACCCCCATCTTAACTCTTGGATCTCCTGTTTTGCCTTTAATCCTTAACCCCTTCTCCACCTAAGACAGGTAGTTTTATCAGTGATTTGGAGACTGAGAGTTACCCAATCATTTAAACTCCCAAAGCGGGAATTGAAACAATATGTAACCTCCCAATGCCAGTGCATGGGGAAGAGGTATGTGTTTCTGGTGTTCACAACCAGAACTCTGAACACATTTTTCTCCTTATAAAAATTTGTTTAAAAGACCATTTAAGTTGTGTAATACTTGTCATATATTTAAATGTGGCCCATTTATTGAAGCATGATGGTCACAATCAGGAGAGGCCAGAAATTGGAATTGAACCTACGGACTATCACAAAGTGACTTGAACCTGGGGGATGCCTGAACTACAATGATAGCCAAGGGCATGGACCAGCCCAGAGGGGAATGGGGAGATTTAAACATAGGCACAGGAGTCTTCTAAGACAAATCTAAAAGCATGTGCTTTCCAACTGCCATATCTACTAAAACCCAGTATCAAAGTTCTCTTTGTCTCCATTCACTCCTTTTATTTATATTTCAATTGGGAATATAGTTTCTACATAAATGTATTAGATTGTTAACAGACACTTCTTCTAGAGTGAATAAATGCCAATTGTGTGAAAGGTTTGCAGTACTAACATGCTTTTCTTATATAACTGTGAAACAAATACTAAATACAGTTATGTATCTTTAATAGTTCTCTAAAAAGTCGAGAAAAGAAAATCTACCCAAAGAATGAATTTGAGCCTCTGTTAGCTGTTGATTTAATAACAATATTTTAGCATTTTGAAACCGTCACTAATGAGCCCAGCAATGTATTATCTTTACAAGCATATTCTTTTTTTTTTGACTTTTCATGTTATATTTTCCAAACAGGTTAACAAGCAACAACGTGACAAAATACTTGATTCTCATGAGAGTGGGAAGAAAGAAGGGGCCAAATGGAATGTGCGGAGGCCCATGGGAACAAAGGCTACTTTATCCAGCCCCCGTTTTCTCTAATGTTACAGACGACATGCGCATCGCCAAAGAGGAGGTAGATGGGTTCATTCTGTCCTGTGTTTGCCTTGCTTTGACTCCACATGTGTATAAAAAAGTGTCGCTTTAAAATTCTCACCTCTTTGAACATCTTTCAAAATAAATGTTACTCTTTATTTCTCATAAAGGTTTATTTGTGATCAGGACTAAAAGGAGTAAGGAATCTGTTGGGCCATCCAAAAATTTTCAGCCAAATAGATCAGGATGCTGAGCAATTTCTAGTGTTTTCCTTCCCACAATTTTAAAGTAAAGGAAGAAAATCCTGTCATTTGTGACAACATAAATGAACCTGGAGGACACTGTGCTAAGTGACACATGCCAGGCACAGAAAGACAAAATACAGCATGGTCTCACTTATACATGGACTCTAAAAGGGTGAAATTCACAGAAGCAGAGAGTGGAATGGTGGTCACCAGGGGCTTGGGGAGGTGGGGTGTGAGAATGGGAGATATTAGCCAAGTATACAAAAGGTATAAGGTTCAGTTAGGTATAAGGAATAAGTTCAAGAAATCTGTTATAAGGATGGTGACTGTAATTAATGACAATGCATTCTATACTTCACAATCACTAAGAAAGTAAATTTAAGTGTTCTTAACACACACACACACACACACAAAGTACTTATGATCTACCTGGTTCTATATTTGCCCTATGGACTTTTTCTACATGACAGCCATCTATATATTTGAAAATGGCATTCATCCCAATATCACTCCCCAACATCTGTTTGCTCTTGCCTATAGTTTTCAGCTGTGTAGCCTCCTAATTTTGTATATCTGAGTTAGATATGGGTAAGTTTATGTGTGGTATAAATATGTAATATTATAATATACATATGTACATCTCTAAAGTGGTGTGTATAATGTGTTACTAAATATTAACTAAGAATATTATTAGGTAAGAAAGATTAGTATTTTGTTCCCTTGTATTCTTGATAAATCCAGATAAACAGGTTAGGAAAAAGATCTTCAGTCAAGGAAACATTTATTGTGTTCCTACAATATTCATAGTAGATCAAGCTAGCTTGTTACTTCAAAGTGGGAGCCTGGAGCCATGTGCTATGTTCAATTAAAGTTATGTAAAATATGAACACATTTATTGCAGCAGCTGCTATATGTCTGGTTCCTAGGTTACAATCTAGTGATTAGATTTATGGCCTTAGGAAATATGTGCTCAGTCTCTATTGACTGGTAACCCCCACCCTCTAACATTTAAAGTAGTGGCGAACACCAGAAAACCATTTGTCACTTCTGATTTTTGCCTCCTCTCATTCATGTTTCCCAGAAAATTCTGGTAACACTCAGAGGAACCCCTTCTTTTTTTTTAATTTTAATGAATGTCTTACTGAAATATAATGCAGGAGCTTAATTTTTAAGAGAAAATCCAGTTATCTTTCTCCTACCTGGGGCTGAGATACAGAATAACTTGTTTGGACTGCACTATATAGAGTCTAGCAAAACTGAGAGTACTTTAGGCTAAAATAAACAAATTGTGATTTTTAGTTATTTTCTGCAACTATAGCCATTGCCAATGAACTCAGGCCTTGATTAGTACAGGGTATTTCAGGGTTTAAGTTCTTGCAGTAATGAACCATTCTGTTTGGTATATGTAAGTTGGATAAGATTTGGCTACAGAATAGAATCTGAACAAAAATTCATGTTGTTTTACCTACCTTGATGAATTATGAAAATATCTAAATACAGTAAAATAGTTAATATTTCAACCAATGGTATACTAGCATTTAAAAAACAATTACTATTACCAATCATTGCCTATTCATTTATTCACAAGAACAAGCATTACTTTCTAGAGCTCACTATTACATGTAGTAACTAGGAAGATGAGGAAAACTAGGGAGAGATTTTTAAATTGCTCTAAATGAAAAAGAAGTTCTGAAGTTTATGATTTGATGCACAATTATAACTTCTCGGAAGCTTCATTCCAACATATAGAAAATGAACATTGCCCTAATTATTTTTGCCCTATTTTATTCCAAAGAGAACTTAACACATGACCATTACCTATTGTCACCTACCATTTCTGCATCTACCTATTTGGATTCTTATACATAGGTTTGAGAATAGAAGCAAATAACCAATTTAGGATAGTTTGTAAAAAAAAATTGTATCATGTGAAATATTTAATTTTAACCCATCATTTTGATTTATTTAATCCATTTCTTGTGGTATAGATATTTGGACCAGTGCAGCAAATCATGAAATTTAAAACTTTAGATGACGTGATCAAGAGAGCAAACAATACTCACTATGGGTTAGCAGCAGGAATCTTTACCAAAGACCTGGATAAAGCCATCACAGTGTCCTCTGCTCTGCAGGCCGGGACAGTGTGGTAAGTCAGACCTCAGCAATACATCTTTTTCAGTGTTAACCACGTTAACAGGTTTCCTTACACCATTTTAGGCTTGGATTTTTCATTTGGGAATACATGGCTTGCTAGAAAATCAGTTGCTGCCTTAAAAAATAAAACAAAACAAAAGACAAAGACAAATTTCAGGTTTTTGATTTTGGAAAAGCAGAATGTTGCATGCCTAATTGATAAAGAAGCTTGTTATAACATTTCACTGGGTGTCTTCGGAATTCCCAGTCAGGAAAATCTGTACAATTAAGACAGAGGGGACCATATATTTATTGCTATATATCCTAGAGCATAATAATATTGTGGCATTGTCCCATCCTAACAGCTGCTTGGTGTTTTCAGTACGATTGTTGAATACCAGAGTTGATGGGATTTTACCCACATTTGCAAAGTAGGTGTGTGATTTTGCAAGTTAAATGGGTATTGAATAAAGCTAAGACAAGCTGTCTTTTAAACGTGTAAATTTATTAAAAGAACTATTACTCCAGGATGGGAGATCTGGGTAATAACTCTGTGGTCCAGTGAGAATATAAAATGCTGAGAATTGAGAATAGTAAGTGTTTTAACCAATAAAACATTTTTGAATGTTATTTCAGAATCAGAATAATTATTAACATTTTCCAAATATAATACAACTTTACTGAAAGTCACACTGTCCAACTATCATAAGAGCATAAAGGGAGGGAAAATCATTAAAAAATAGCATTGTTTTCTCTTTTAAAATATACTTCTTTTCTTTTGTGTATAATGAGAATCATGTAGGTAATAAGATTTTGCTCTTAACTTTGTCCACCAGGACCAGGAAATTTAATGCTAAACAAATTGTTCATAGCCTGCATAATTGCATTCTTATTTCCACCCATCTTGATTTTTAATTGTAATTATTTCTTGAATTCCACCTATTAGTATTTTTGTAATTACATTTGTTTTTATAAGCCATCTTTAAACACTTTATGAAACATGACAGGGAATAAACAGAATGATAATGACGTCCAACCTCTACCAAGGCCTCTGTTTAAGCAATTTATTGAACCAATTAATCGGGGAAAAATGAACTGAGTAATATGATACATATTGCAGTTGCAAAAGAAAAGTGAACTTAACCTATTAAGTACACAAGCCTCAAGATAACTGCAAAGCTTATTGAACATAGGCAGTAAGGAATAAAGGTATACCCACCCAACAAATTCCAGTCTTCAGCAAACCATTTCCTTTCTCCTATGGCATATTAGCTATTCTAGAATTCTAACTTTTATAATTCTAACTATGCCTTCTCAGGGACATGATATACTGCCAAAAAGGCTATATACATATACACACATACATATGTGTATCATTTTCTTTCTTTCTAGGTGGCATATATCCATATACTTCCACATTCCAATTTATAGTGCTGCTTTTTTTGTTGCAATGAGTATGTCATACTGAAATTAATGGAGTTCTTGAGCTTTCTAAATTTCTTAAATTGCCACATAGAAGTTATTTCATATATTCAGTATCGTCTATAATGTACTTCCATTTAGGGTGAACTGCTATCTCATGTCGTCTGCCCAGTGCCCCTTTGGTGGCTTCAAGATGTCTGGAAATGGACGAGAACTGTAAGAATAACTTTCTATTGATACACTTATTTCATAAAAATTGTTTTTACTCCTAGGAAATTAACTCAAAATTGCACCTTAAATAAAACCTACTTTAGTTCTTTCCTAGAGAATTTATACCACCCAATAGCTTATTAAATGTTGGCTGTACCTACCCCATAAGTACAGAAAGGTGCTGACAGAAGGGAAATGTAATTTATTAAGCTCCTACTACTCATTAGGGTCCATATTAACCACTTTACACTAGTGATCTAAATATTGCTTACATTTAGAATTGTTAGCTGCATATATGAATGAAATCCATGTGGGAAACATCTCGAGAAAGGAGGTGAAAAAGCATAAAGTGGTGATTGCAAGAAGTGTGCAAATATAAGGACACTCCAGTTATTGGAATATGCCCCTAAGTAAGTAAATCAGGTGCCTTATCTCAGAAAACATCAGTGTAAAAGGAATGATTCTCATTCATTGAAATATTATTGATGTAGACTCTAAAATTTTAAATTACCTGAATAAGTTATTTTTGAAACTAAAATATAACCCTGAAGGGAAATTTGACTAAGGAAAACATGTTTTATAGTAGTGAATAGATTGAGAATATTTATACATAATTTATTTATGAGCCTTCAGTTGCTTTTGGAACTGGGAGATATAGACTTTTTGTAAAAATGTTCACATACATATATAAACACAGAAAATAGTGGCAAGATGTTTGGTTAAGTTTATTCAAGAGTTTCAACCATTTTATTTCTCTAAATTCTCTTATGTTTATCAATAAGTTTAAAATTTTTGAAGAAAAAAGGTAGATCGTATGCAATTCTTGTGGAATCAACCACCCATTTGGTAATCAGCCGCCCATTTGGTAAATAGCGAGTAAAAATAATTCTTTCTAAGTTTCTAAGAGTCATGAATGCGTGAAATAGCCATATACTTTGTCATTTTTCTTATTGAATCAGCAAAATCACAATGAAACAAATATTTTGGGGGACACAGTGAAATGAAGGAATGATAGAATGATCCATCAACTTTCTCAACATGCATTCATTAGTACTTACTACAGATAAGGCCCTAGGGACATGACATACTCTACATAACTGTGGTTGCAGGAGGAATATGTAAAAATATGTGCAAAATAACCTGCACACACTAGATTGAGACTCCACTCCTCATGGGGGCAGAGAAGCAATTTAAGTACAGAGCAAAGGATTGAAAGACAGGAAATCTGGACAGCACCAGACTTTAGCATTTAGGATGGCATGACTCTTTCGCTATTTTCATCAGTCACACAAGGTTAAGGATTGTAGGTGAAGAGAGGATTGGGCAGAGGAAATAGAAGGTTTTTTAAGCTCCTTCCCATAGTTCTATGGTTCTCACTCCAGTGGAATTTGGTGGATAAAAAATTTAATTGCACTTGATAGAGTAAGAGAAGACCTTACAAAAGACAAGGGGGTTCATCTGGGGCAGCAAGAGGGCATTCTTGGATGGAACATTATGTGTAGTGTGCTGAAGGGCTACAGAATTTGGTTGGTTAGTGTGGATTTATGTGAGTTAGAAGTATGATTCAGAGTTAAATATGATATAGATTAAGAAGTCCTGAAGCCAAGAATATTGTCTGAGATTTTACTGGTAGAGTAATGAAGAGCCATGGGTATGTTTAGAATGTTTTGAGGAGATAGCAGCAAAAGATCAACCCATGAAAAGCACAAGGCATATCTGAGAAGACATCATTTGAGTCTGACCAACCTGCATTTACATCCCAACTCCACCACTTGCTAGCCATGCTGCTCACTTCATTGTCTAACTTCTGACCCTCCATTCCTCATATTGCAAATAGAGATGCTAACTTTCCTCTTAAGATGGTTATAACATAATGAATGTCCAATCCCTAGCCTTGTAACTGCCACAAACTGGAAACTCAACAAATGGTTTCTTCCTCCTCTAGTTTCTTCTCTTTATAATAGCTATACTGGATAATCCCTTGGGAGAACTAATTTATTTATACAAAAAGCTGGAACAAAGGATAGATTACTCTGAAGTTTGGTTAGTTCATTGCTGACCCAGCTACCTAACCCATTTTCCTGGGAACAGTGAAGATAAAATAATCAAAAGGGATGAAACAACTTCTGTTGAATACAGACTTTCAGGTTAACCCATAAAGGTATCAAATAAGAGAAGGATTGAAAATAGGAATCAACCATCAATAATTTCCTAAATGTAAGGAACATAGGCATATATAATGTCCCAGCCTGAGCAGGACAATAATCACACTTATTACTCTCTGGAGAACTTCAGGTGCCATGTGACCCAAAATACAATGGAAAACCTATTGGTTAAAATCTTGGGTTGCTTTATCTAACTCTGGGAGATAAAATACTTTCCTTTAAATGGGTTTCAGAAAACTGAGGCTAAAGCCTTTAATTACTTTGAAGAACATGCTCATTGAAGCTTTTAAAAGGTGTTTTTAGAAGCTTACTTGCCCAAGAAAATAATCAGTGTAAGAATATTAGGTTACCCAGGAGAAAATGATGCCTTCTACATATCTTTCTAAATCACAAGAAGGGAGGGGTAGAAAAGGATCAAGATCTGATTTTTCCGTAAGCTACACATGCATGAGTGTTGTCATTTTAAGAATATTTTCATATACATGTAATTTGATTCTCTTGTCAGAACAATACAGAGTATAACTGAGCCCCAATCCCTTTAGCTATCTCTTCAGCAAAGGGTAAATCACAGTCAGCTTCTAAAACTGGTTGGAGGTCCCAATAAACCTGATAACAAAATAGGAGGGTCCAAATGGACTGACTTGGATTAATTCCTAATCATTTGGGTTGGACTTTAGTCATATAAGCAAAAGGTAGGGGATAGAGGAGGGCATAGAAAGGAAAAAAAACTAAAAAACTGCAAAACCTCAAGAGCCTGAATGTAGGCCAATCTACCCTTGTTCTCTTCCTTAAAAAGCACTGTGGAGGCCGGGCGCGGTAGCTCACGCCTGTAATCCTAGCTCTCTGGGAGGCTGAGGCGGGCGGATTGCTCAAGGTCAGGAGTTCAAAACCAGCCTGAGCAAGAGCGAGACCCCGTCTCTACTATAAATAGAAACAAATTAATTGGCCAACTGATATATATATAAAAAATTAGCCGGGCATGGTGGCACATGCCTGTAGTCCCAGCTACTTGGGAGGCTGAGGCAGAAGGATCGCTTGAGCCCAGGAGTTTGAGGTTGCTGTGAGCTAGGCTGACGCCACGGCACTCACTCTAGCCTGGACAACAAAGCGAGACTCTGTCTCAAAAAAAAAAAAAAAGCACTGTGGAGAGGAAGGGCTTGCCTCTAACCTCGCTAGGGAGACGCAAAGACATAAAATGTAACCACAATGTTTGTATCCTCATAATACCCTGAAATAATAATAATAATAATAATAATAATAATAAAGAACATAAGTAGATGGTCAGAAAAAAAAAGAATACAATCAAGAAAAAATAAAAAAATCAGAAAACTTTAATAAAGGTCAGATTTTTTTTTTTTTTTTTAGGCCATATGCTACAGCAGAATTTTTTTTTTTTTTGAGACTGAATCTTGCTCTGTGACCCCCAACTGGCAGATTTTTTTTTTTTTTTTTTTGCTGAGAATCAAAAGATGTTGCTAAAACTACAGCTGCAAAAGATTCTGTTTCAAGCCCCTTAGAATGAAAGTTTCACTCCTTCATCATTTCGGTGCCAATTCTGTGCACTTGGTAAATTCAAGTTCTGCTTTAGTTTACAGTTTTGTTGTACTGCTATGTTTCCCTGAAAATAGGACAGAGTTTATGTTTAATTTTCTTCAAGAAGACACCCTAGGGCTGATTTTCAGGGAATGTGTTATTTTCCCCTCAAAGCCTCAGCTTGCAGTACGCACAGGATGGCTGGGACCTGACGGGGGGGGGGGGCGACCTAGTTGGTGGAGCTGCCAGCACCTTTCTGGTCACCTCTGGGATAGTAGCTGTCACCATGGGACCCATGAGAAGGGCTGTTCCTCTTCTTTACCACTCCTGAAGAAATGCATGGGTTGTGCAGATATGCTGTGTAGCCATGTCCATCACTAGGTCTTATTTTCAGGGTAGGCCTTGTATTGTGCACATGCTTAGAAATCCTGCTAGGGCTTATTTTATGGGTAGGTCTCATTTTCGGGGAAGCACGCTACTATAGAGTGATTATATATCACTACCTCTCCTCTTTTATTATATTTATCTTAAAGTGAATTTAGACTAGAAATGACAAAATTCTTATTTTGTCTGAATTGTCTTTTGAGTAGATAGAGTTTTTTAAAATTAAGTAGGATAATGTAAACAAATGAACAATATCTACAAAAATCAACCAAAAGTATATGATTTTTATTTATTTTTATTTTTGGTAGAGTCTTGCTCTGTCATCCTGGCTAGAATACAGAGGCCTTAAAACTCACTGCAACCTCAAACTGCTAGGCTCAAGCAATTGTTTTCCCCCAGCATCCTGAGTGGCTGGAACTACAGGCATGAACTCCTGGGCCCAGCTAACTTTTTCTGTTTTTAGTGGACACAGGGTCTGGTCTTGCTCAGGCTGGTCTTGAACTGTTGAGCTCAAGCTATCCTCTAGCCTTGGCCTCCCAGAGTGCTAGGATAACAGGGTGAGCACCATGCATGGCCTACATGATTATTTAAAATGAAAGAGATCTTAAAAACATATTTCCCACAAATGGATTTAAGTCCAGACAATTTGGCTGGCTAGCTACTGTATAAAATGCTTGGTATACATAAAATATTTTCTATTGTTCTTCGCCAGATAAGCAAGAATAAACTTGTAAAAATCTTGTAAAAAAATCGACTATCGTAGATTTGTACTCTATGTTAAATGGTGTTTGTGGTTATTTTTTTCCCCTCTCTCTAGGGGAGAATATGGTCTCCATGAATATACAGAAGTCAAGACAGTCACAATAAAAATCTCTCAGAAGAACTCATAAAAAAACTACAACAGTGGAGAAAAATTCTTCAAAATCATCTCCTATAGTCACTAACAGAGTGGGTTTTCAATGCCAAATTATTCTTTTCATGATTTTCTTAAAACATAAGCTAATAATCAGTGTTAGTTCTATCCACAGAAAACTTGACATGTAGCTTATTCTGAGTCATTCGCCTTCTGATATGTGACCTCAATTCCATCCTAAATAAAAAGGATGTATTTGGACACCAAATCTTTGAAGCTCTGTCATAGTCATGTGCTTTCATTTGTAGCTACTTGTCCAGCATAATCATTTCATAGAAGAGAACCAGTTGTCATTTAGCTTCTTTCCCTTAAGGACTCCTTGAAGTACTTAACATACATGTTAACTGCAGAGTGAGTTGCTCTGTTTCCAGTAGTTATGAAGTCCTTGGAGTGTCTTGAAATGTTTCCTGGATCCATGTCTGCTTGTCAAATGAAGTGATGCCTGAAATACTTAGCTGTAAGCTGAATATGAAGCTTAATAAAAACAATTTTGCATGACTCTTGTTCAGTTTGCATTTTTTTTTAAGTAGAAGTTTTGGTTATGGTGATTTACTGTCCTTGTCACTCAAAAACAGCATTCAATTGAGCCTAAAGATACATTTAAAGTAAAAGTCTAATCCACCCATTCTCAAATGGGTAAAGAAACATTTTATTTTTCAGAGTAATTCTTGATATCAATGGCACACATTTGAGATAGATGGCATCAGTCCTTCTGTAAGCATTTATTGAGATCCTCCAAAGTTCTAGGCTGGGCACTAGTTAGGTGTTTAGAAAATAGGTGAATAGTGAATGGTCCCTCATCTCAAGGTCCTTTAATCTAATGAAGAACAATGATAATCCCTGCCCACAAATAAAGGAGGGGGCATAAAATAGAAGTGAGGATTCTGGAAACCATAAGAGTGCAAGAACATGCCAAATAGGTTAGTGATACAGTCCAACTGAGAGAATTGGGAATGGCCTCATGAAGAAAATTTGACTGGATGTGAACCTTAATGATGAGCAGATTTGCAGTTACAAAGAGGGAAAGAGGTTCTACAATATAATCTCTCAGGGTATGTTCCATTGAAAAACAGTGAAGAAATTCTATGCAATATGTTTTCCTCTCTTGAAGTTTCAAATTGCACATTGGCAGCATATTCTAGGACCAGGTTCTGAGAAGTCCTGCAACCTGTTTAATTTTGTTTTAATACGGTATTTTTTTTCCAAATTTATTTTAGCAGAGTTCTTGCCTTCCCTGTACCTTCACTTAACACCAGTTATCGTTGAGAAATCCATGTTGGAAGGTGCTGTTTCCTGCAATGAGGGAGCACTTAGTGTTCTAAGGAGAAATCTGGGATCAAAAGGGAACAGCTGCAAAAATGGCCTCCGTGTAAAACTAAGTACACCATGATTATACACTGCTGCTCTGAGAGCAAAGGGTGGCTGTTTGCGTTGTCATCCTTCTTTATGTGCTCCCATGCAGGAACTGCCTTAGGCCCAAGTCAAATCAAGTGAATATTTGCATATTACTACACGTATTCTAAAATGTTTTTAGTTCAGCAACTTAGGGAAACATTTTTTGCATATTCAGAGTTTATATACATAATCGTTTACCATTTTACATTAACAGATCCTGCAGCGACACTGTTGTTTAGACATGTTACTAGCTGCCGCAGTCATGTTTAATATAGTAAGAATAAATAAAACTCATTAGCTTCTTAGACATGTAATAATTTCAACTTCAATTTCGAGAGTTTCTCAATCTTGTGTGAGCCTATGAGATTTGCAATTTGAACTTCTTTGTGAAATGTGGGACATAATTATTGTTTGGAAACTGTTGGAACCAAAGTCTTGGGAGAATGGAAAAGTTTTTAGACATTGAAATGGGAAAATATCCAAATTCAGAGGAGGGTTATGTTTTCCTAAAACAAGATAGTGCCATTTTTAAAAGATGTGTTTAAAACCATGTGCAAATAAATTAGTAGCTAGACAAGTTAATATTGCAATGACATCCCACCAGAACATTTTTAAAATTTATAACAAAAAGGACTAAGCACAGAACAAGACAAAAGCCAGAAGCAAGCTTAAATATTTGAAAATTAAATCTTCATTTTATAAATAAGATGTTACAGGATTAAACAGAAAATATCTGTTTTATATTAGCTCATCCTGAGCCTTCTAGACATTTTTTGTATTCCATTATTTGTATTAAGACCACTTTGGCAATAATTCTTAAAATCTTGAAATGTTAAAGGGTATCTTATTAATTAGCACATGTGCTACAGGAAATATAGGTCAGAAATTTTATCATGGAGAATTCAGTTTTGTAGTTATAAATATCTGACTGTCCTCATATCCACATGGCAAGAAGTATTTTGAGCTCCAGGAAAACCAAACTATGTGACAGAAGTTGGAATTCACTGTTTAGGCAGAGATAATGTCAGATTTCAGATAGGCACTCCCTAATGTCTACTGGATTTTTCCCTTTTTTTTTTTTTTTTTGTTTCCTTTCTCCTTTTTTAGTTTCTTATTAGGATACATACTTCTGGCTTATTTTGAAACAGCCAAGAAGAAATGGGGGGTGGGGAGAGTGTTTCTTAAATTCTTGTAACCAACTCAAAATAGAAGCAACTCAAGGTAGGGAATTTTAGCCATTTCTTCACATAATTTGGGAGAGAGTGATGATGTCAAAAGGCCTTTTCCCTTAGTGATGCATGTAACTTTTTGAGTATCTAATTTCCCTTGGACGTTTAGAAGTGCAATTACACATGTGTAACATCAACTAGACACCTATGTTCAGATGGCTTTCTCAGAGTATGCCGAATAACCAGGTTACATTTTTACATAAAGCACAAATGCCCCATTAGAATTTCATTTACTGACTTATCCTGGGAGGATTTTGTGTGTGTGTGCGCGCGCGCGCGTGCGCTCTGGAGTTGTGTTTGAGCCTTCCTATTCCAATGGTGAAAGGAGATATAGGAAAGAGAATTAGAGATGATAGCTCAATATTCTGGATACCAAAATTCAGTGACTGCCAGGAGGGTGTGAGAACTTTCTGTTGTAGCACATGAGGACTGTGGCATCCTGGAAGATAATGTCCTGAGTCAAGACACAAATGAAGGAGAACGGCCCAGTTATCACTCTGACCTTCTGTGGAAGAGTAGAGATGGTATCTCTCTGAACACAAGGCCACAAGATTTTTCTATGGGGGTCAAGACAAATCTAGATCATGTCCCTTAACTGGCCTTTAGACTCTGGGTGGTGGGTTTATCTCAGAGAAAAATAGTCACATCCATAAACATGTAGGATAACTCCCAGTTCACTAGTGAGTCAACTTTATCACCTCATGAAATATCTGTGCCAAAGCTATAGTAGCAATGCTTTTTGAACATTAATGCTGGGGGCTGACTACTTTCACAAGAATTTAGTTTTTTTAAAAATGGACATCTCTGAGTTTTATGAAAATGTTTGTAGAGTGTCATGGTGCTAACTTGAAGTGATTTCACCAGAGTATTTGAATTTTTGCTTGCTTTTTGTGAAGTTATTTCTTTAAAGATTCATCAAGCCTTGAAAAATATACTAAATATGAAACCACAAAACCAATTTGGCCTGGTAACTGATTTAATTTTATATATTAAAAATAATTTCAAACTTTTAGAGGAGCTGCTAAACAGTGCATAGAACTCCCATATATCTTTATGCATTGTTTTTGATATAATTTCCTTTATTGACTTTATCATTCCCATTCTGTATATTGGTATATTTTTAAAGATAAATGTAAACTTTTTTTTTGTACATAATGTTATTTTACCCTAAAATATGTCAATATGGTTTTCTAGGAATAATGCCACTCTTTCACAAAACCACAGCACAATTATCTAATTCAGGAAATTTAACATTGACAAAATACTATCATCTAATACATGATTTATTTATAATTTGTTCTATAATTTGTTATAATTATTCCACCAATGTCCTTTATGACATTTTTTCTCATTATCCAAAAACTAGTCAAGGATCATGTATTACATTAGGTTATTGCTGTTTCATTTTGTTATAATATCCCTACGGTGCTCACCGGCTGTGAAACCTTGCCCACAGCCCGCACTCATAGTCCGCACGATAGTTTGTGCTGTGCATTGACGACAAATCCATTTTGCTCTTGTGTGATGAGGAAAGCTTTAAAGCACTGAAAGCTTGTTTTACTTTACAGGCAGCTTTATACTTGTAATGTAAATTAGAATAGGTAACATATACATTTATGTTTTTATTATGCTATTTTTAAATGTTCACAATTTTATTTTGATAAATGAAAAATTAGAAAAGTCAATTCAAAATTATAGTTTTATTTCATTCAGATCATAAAGAAATAAGGCAAATTTTTGAGTATTACGATAAATTTTATTCTTTGGTATGATAAATCTGGAAGCATGGGGCTACACATAGGCCAACATTACATCATTTACAGAGGTACTATGCCTTTTATTGTTTTTTAAGCATACAATACATCTTCTTAATGGATTTTTCCTTTTTGTTTTATCACTATTGTAAGGTGCTGGAAAATGTCTTTCTCTAAAGCGCATGAGATTTTCTGATGCGGTACAAAGGTTGTATTGCCTCGATTTGGAGTACCGTTGTAGAAGTTTTGTTATTAACGCTAAAGTTGACACTTGGCTGAGTGCCTTCAAATCACGGCTGTTGGCTAAAGTCGCTGTGCTTGTTCATCTGTGGCTATTGACTATAGTCAACGCTCATACCGAAGTGGTTAATAATGGGGATATGACTTGCAAGCACACATGATACTCAGTCAAGCTGGTTAGTACTGTCTTGGCCTGGGAGGGAGCCTAGTGGACATACCAAACTCAGAGTCTTAGTGAATTGACAAGAACCACCCAAAAGGGGGGGTGAAGGTTTTTAAGAATAAATACTTCATTTCAATATATGATTATTAATTACCATCATCCATGATAAACCAGATGAGACTCCGTAGGTTGAAAATATGTGTCTTGTGCCTTGGACAGTTCTGAGGAAAAGTTGTTATGTTCCCTTAAGGATATTAGTGTCTAGTCTTTGTGTGTATTATTACAATATTGCTCTTTGTCATTCATTTCCTACATTTCTTATTTGAATATTTTTCCTAATAACATACAGGTTGCCTACATTTTGATAACATCTGGGGAGTTACCTTAATAACAATTAGTTATAAATCAGCCATATAAAACATTTTAAATGACTTTCATAGTATATTTATACTAGAAAAATCTTGACATTTAGAGTCAAATAGGTGCTAAATTATGATTCTACCATGAGCTAGTGGTATGGTCACAGGTCAATTATTAAACCTTTCTCATATAGTCTCATATAGTAATCATTCAGCAGATAATGGTGGCTATTGACATTTGGGAAGAAATGTAATGTTTTACATAATCACCAGGGCCCTTGGAGCCCAGAAATCTGGTTTCAAATACTTTTTCTCATTGGCCTTGGGAGTTGGGACAAAGTATCCAATCTTCCTAAAT